CATTAGCCAACGTGATTTGTCACTTTGATCCTCACCTGTGTATCGATACGTTCAATTTTAATGTGCGATTTTATTGAGAGACTACTGTGTGTGTTGTCTTGGTGTGGTCTGGGACTGTTCTGAATGTTGTTTTTTGCTGCCTTTGTCCAAGCTTGCCTTTTGTGTCGAAAAATCGGCAGGCATTTATGTACTCATGCAATTTGTATCGTTTATTTATTTATTTTAAGAAACTTCCTTCCCTTTCCGCTGGTCTGTTTGTTGTAACATGCTGATCCGCCCCCTTTTGAACAACTGTCACAAATATCTTAATAGCTCATCGGATTCTTGCACTCCGAATAAGAAAGATTATCATAAGAGTCTAGAAATAGGAGGGCTGGACGTGCTTTAGCAAAGCATGGGTCACAACAAACGAGTGATAAAACAATAAAAAACTGCAACGCTAAAACAATGTATTTGTACAGGCACGGCCTGGGTTCTCAATCTACTGCTGGATGAGGGCCTCACCACGCTTAGTGGGCCCGCAAGGCGATATTTGACCACACTTCACCAGTCTGGTCAGCGCAGGCTGGTGAAAGGTTGCAGGGGTTTAATGTGATGTCGAAAGAATATAACTGCTGGGAAATACGACGCAAGTTGTACGGCGCATTAGGGTGCAGGTACAAACAAAGGGTTGGGAGAGATATTGCCTTGCATTGCAAAACAATCCAGATTCAGGTGTTCGTTCAATGAACGTCCTCGCTTAAGCAAGTAATGTCTGAGGCAGTCGCCGTCTGCTCTTCCAAGTGCTACGGGAGTGCTTTCAGAGAGGAAAAAACACACATTTACGAGTAGGTAAACTGTCGCCAGAGCACATTTCATGACGTGGATAAGAAATAAAAGACCACCTGACCCAGAAATTAAGGTCAGTCTCTTGCAAATGCTTTCCCTCTGATGTGGAAAGGTGTAAAATGACATCACTGCAGGAGACCTCTCCAATCCTGCACACATACCACACACGTTGGTTCTGCCATTTCATATAGACGTAACATTTTTGATCCGTACATGGGGTGCATTTAATAATCATGATAATCATGACATTTAGTTGTCCACAGAGGCCTCGCCGTGTCTCAAAATAACAGTGCGCGTCATTGTAAAGAATACAAGTCACAAAATAAGCACACAATATCATAAGCAGACTGAGATTCAAGATCGTTTCGTGAGAGCCCAGCTTTGGGACGTGCGGCCACTTATAAGGTTTTGCAACATGAGTTAACAGGAATAAATCAGGACAGGTGATAATGCTCAAAAGTCTGCACACATAAGTTCACACAACACACATTGTGGCTGTCTCTCCTAACAAGCTCACAGCCCACGGGGGGAAGGGGGTGGGGGTTTGAGTCTTGCAATCTGTACACGACTGCGAGACTCAAACCTGCACCTCCACAGTGCCGGATTACACGAGGGCGGCACCATAACAACAACGCCCGGCACTGTACTTTCCGCGTCGGTTTTCGTAGTAGCGCCCGCGTACGGCTCCGCACGCTCTCGTTAATAGGGTCGCTGCCGTGCGTTCTTCGGCACGCGTGCCGAACAACACACGGCACGACCCCAGAACGCGAGTCGGCGGATAGCACACAGAGTTTGGACAAATGTTCTTGGGGTTTTATGGGTGTAGGTGCCCCCCCCCCCCCGCCGCATCGCTCGTAATAGACTTACAGATGAATACATTTAAAATAGAAATGCGTTTAACAGTAACCTCACAAAAACATCACTCATAAATGTTGTCTATTGTTGTGATATTTAGCAATGCTGCAAGCATGACAAACAAAAGCTGTAAAGAATTTTATATTGTTACAGAACGAAACCTTCATAAAACAAAAGTAGATGAATAAACAGCAATTACTTTAGTATTTGAACAAGGACATGCAATCGTGACATATCCTTTAGGTATAAGTATATATATATACACATTTAAAATCAATGTATCCTGCTCTCTACTCACAAAAAGCATTTCGCTTTGGGCATCGGATTTCAAAAGCAGCTTTTGAGATGAACATCATACAGCGTATAGCCAAAAGTCTTTTATGTCAGTGAAGAATGCAAATTAATTCATATTTTAAATGGTGTAATTTATCCCACATTTCAATGGTGTTATTTGTGTTGGTGTTATTAAAGCGCGCTCGGCGGGCCCATTTGTAAGAAAGCCTCAAGGTAACTCGTACATTACAAGGCTCTGCGCACAGCTGATAACCTCCGTCACATTGTTGCTCTCCGCCTGCTCATACCCGAGCATTCTCTTATCTCCATGCGCACCGCCGCCCGGCACAACAAAAGCCGTACGAATCCCTGCCACGGAACAAGAGCCAACAAGACAATGCTCCAGATAGTGCCCCCCACCCCACCCTCTTTCCCTCGTACCCTCAAAATCCACCCCCACCGCACCACCACCGCTCCGCGTAACACGCCCCGCCGCTACCACTGCTGCCTCCACCCCGCCAACCACCCCCCCCGCCGCCCACACCACCCCCGGCCCCAGGCCCGGCCGGTGATGCGTTGAGGCTTGAAAGAACATCTGTGTGAGTAGCAGCGAGCTGAAAGCACCCGTTAATTCCGAGCAAAACCAGCGCTGCGCTAATTGAAATTTTCACGCTCGACTGGAGAAAAAGGAGCCGCAGAAAGCCGCTGTGAGAAGAAAAAAAAAGCTGCCGCTGGCCGGGACGGGAGCGAGCCCCATCTCAGAAATCACGGGAAAACGAGTGCCAGAAAGTGCCCAAAAAAATAGAGAGCGCTTTAATCGATGTAATTTTAGCCCCTAATTTGCGCTCCTACCCTCATAGAAAGTCCTCCACAATGACTCACTCGCAGAGCTTCTCCAACCTGAGCGGCATTCTCACAACAAGAGATTTGCCTTTAAAAGAATAAAAACGAAATAGCCTCACCAACCCTCCCCCGCAGAATGTAATTGAAAAAAAAAGTGTTTTTTTAGAGTAATTTTCCAAGAAGTGGCATGATACTGCTTTGCAATTAACGTCTTCGATGTTTGATAAAATGAAGCGCCTACTTTATTATTGATTTGATATTGCAAATTATTCTGCAACATGCTGTTCGAAAGCATGATCGATTAACGAAATATAAGTATATAAAAGATTTGTTTTTTGTCCACATAACAGTCTAGGTAAACATTTTTAAATACTAGTTGTAGCATTCTAGTTAATCCTACCAGTGCTCTCTAATATTAATTTCTTAATATTGAATATATGTGATACAAAAAAAACAAATGTATATACAATACCCATATTTTTACCATTAGCCATATATATAAATCTATACAATTACATATACAACATGAAGTGATTAGCATGCAAACACCTGCTCGAGATAAATGTTCAAAACCGTTGTACACAAGTGAAACAAAAACGGAATGAATGAGACGTCCCTTAACCTCGTTCGCTAAAATCTCAAGTGCTGCCACGCGGGCCATCTTGCGCTTGAATTCAAAACAGGGGCTTGATATTCGAAGGCTTAAACAACCAACAAAAAGTAACGCCTTTAATTGCCACCGGAAAGGGAATTTGTTGTGCAAGAGCATTACGCCCTTTGACAAGATGCGGCATGGCAATGATCCCCCTGTGAGTAAGCATGAGAAAGGTCACACTACCTTAAACGAACTGGCTTGCAATTAAACTCTTAATTACAAGTGCACTTCTACGTTCGAGCTCACAATTCTCCCGGTCTCACTGCGGCCAACCCCCCGCGAGGGTTAATTATGACGAATCCTGCTCGTTACACTCTTGCCCATAGGTCAGCAGCACTCTATAAAAGACAACCCCATCCCCCCCACCCCGCCACCATCCCCACACAGGCTAAGGCTCTGGAAGGACCGTGGCACTGGCTGCTTGAGGCAATGAATGAAGTGAGGGTGGATCAACACCTGGCTTTGGATCAAATGTTTGTGAAATATCGGATTAAACTGAAGCCGTCGTAAATTAACACTGCCTCTGTGGCACACAGCAACGTTGAAACTGGCCTCTGTGTAAATCCACTTGCAAAGTTGTTTTGAGAACAATTGTTCTGAACGAATTATAAACTACAACCAATGTGGCAAATTAATTCATGGGGTTTTTTTACAACGAGACTGCTGTAGAATAAATGAGTGAATGAATGAGTGGATGAATGAGTGAATGAATGAGTGAATTAATGAGTGAGTGAATGAATGAGTGAATGAATGAATGACACCACAATTTGCCACCTGGTGAAAACCCAACGAGAGTGTTCATGCCTCAAAGGAGGGATAAATAACATTACCTAGCAAAGAAAACCAAAATCCGTTGAAGCTACATGGTTGTAGAGCACGTTTTAAATAATACAATACGTATTAACACAAATAGTAGCTTGTAACAGAAACCTTATAAAGTTGCGTTCTGAAAATCAGTCTGCGAGTGCTGGTAATTATTTATCAAAGTTCTCCCTAGCACTGGAAGCAACGTGTATGTATGATCCATTTTACCACAAATCTTTATGAGAATGAATGGGGTTTATATGTGTAATGCTAAGTGGGGAGGGTTTTTCTTTTAGACAATTAGACTAAAAGCTTGAAGCCGCTTTCAGTAAAACTGGCCTGTAAGCCTTTTCAGCGCAAACCTAATTCGAAGACAATCAATATCTACCTGCAATCAGACACACATGATGCAGTGCCCGACCAAGGTGACATTCAGGAACCTGCTGTCTTTGTGCAAGGTTTTGCGTAACGCAAATACACACGAGTAATTGAGACAATACCTAAGCAGGGACCTTGCAGAGTCCTCCGCAATATTTACTCCGTTCTTGTGCAAATGGAAACCCTCCCTGCCTCCATCTCCCCACCCACCCCAACAGACAATAAAAAAGAGAATAAACAGCATGAGCAGTCCAACGTGAAACGAAAAATTATTATATTCATGCAGTACAGGTGCCTTACCTTTCCTGCTCCCCTGTCCCCCTTGGCTGTGGCACTTGCAAAGACAAAAAAAGACAAAGGATACAAGCTCCGGTAGAGAGGGAGGCGTCGCTTGAGTGCCCGGCTGGCATTGATGGCCGTCGCTCTGACCAGGCCCGGTAGCAGCTTCTTGCCCACGATCGCGCCGTCAAACAGGGGCCCGAAAAATGGCACCTGCGTGTTGACAAACCGACATCTTTCGATTTAAAGCTTTCGTGACTGCAGGGATTCATCTTCTTGGTTCTTTCGGTAAAGTCACGTAGAAGGAAAATAATAAAATAATAAAAATAAAACATAATAAAATAATTCTCACGACTTTTCGGCCACAACGCAAGCAGCCGTCCCTCAGGTGAAGAACAGGTCTGTCGGGAAGACCTGAGGACGGCTGCTTGCGTTGTGGCCGAAACGTCGTGAGAATTATTTTTATTATTTTATTATTTCCCTGCTACGTGACTTTACCGAAAGAACCAAGAAGATGAAACCGACATCTGTATGCATGTACGTTGAACTTATTTCGCACCGTGTGTAGCCACCCGTGTAGCCACCCGTGCTAATAGGAGGTGCGGGGGAAGTACAACAAACTAAACACAAAAAGCAGTTCCAAAGAAATTAGTTTTCAATCTAAATTTAAAAGTGCATAGCACGCAAATCGTAAACTGCCATCCGACACAAAGCACGCAACAGGAATGAGACGCAGAGAGCGCTCTCCGATTCGTTCTCCAGGTTGTACCGCGTGTTGTTCGGCGCGATGTCCGACGTTCCGCCCCACGTGCCGGGAGCTTCGGGCTCCTTAAAGAACGTCAGCTTCAGTTTTTGAAGAAGCTCCCAGCATGGTGGAGCAGAAACGCCGTGCGTCGTGCCAAATCACACGCGGTTACAACCCAAAAACGCATCAGAGCTGCGCAATTATAACCGTGAAGACACGGATAAGGCGATTGATAAAAAAATATATCGATACCTTAAGGAACTACGTCTGTTTTGCTCAGTAATTTTGCTAAATAATAATAATGTTTTGCCCAATAACTTGTCTTGCTCAAGGGAGCTTTAACTCAAAGTCAAAAAAAGGGGTCCAACGAAACAAGTGACAAGAAGCACCTGGGATTAATGATGTGTGGGCCAATTGGCATTAAACGATCCTAAGCCAAGAAAACAAACTACCAACATACGGTCTCTTGTTTGCTTAATGATTAACGCGGCGGAGCAGCTGCACAAAAGACTGGGTATTTAATTTCTTGTTTAATTAACACAGGTACTGCACCACCGGATACTGAACAGTATGAATGTTCGACCGATCCATATTGCCAGCGCCAGCTATAAATGGTGCCAAGGGAGAAACGACTCTTGTTAAATTATTTGAATGAAGCTGCAGTGATTATTTGCAGGCAAATTAAGCGGTACAATGCACGGGTAATCATCTTTGCAGCCAGGTTTGTGGGCGTTCAGAGAGTAGGGTCGGTGAGATGTGGCGATACTACGATATTTTGGATGATATAACGTAAAGATAATCATATAGTCCATATTTATATCACGGTTATTGTCACTCACTTGATTTCGGCAAAATATTTAACAAACTGTTGTATAGAAATATAAAAGTGTTTTTTTTCCTCACTTTTATTGGAGGTACGGCAAAGTAATAAATTTAGAAAATACAAAATGTGAATTACTAGCTTCCGGGATGCTGATATAGCGATAATGGTCACCTCGTGAATTGCAATACCATGCCATATAGTGGAATATCATATCGCGGTCCCCCTCGTCAGAATCAAGACGTTTATTTCCCCAAGTAAAAGCCCATTGAGCTTAGAAGCCCTTTTTCAAAAGGTCACTCTGTCGGCAGACAACATCACAGCATGTCAACGCACGTATGTTGAACTACTTTCGCACCGTACATAGCCAACCGTGTCGGGTGGTGGCGGGTTTAACGACACTTTGAAACATTTATGCGATCTGACCCAAAAAAACAACCTGCATCATGGGTGACATTGGTCGTGAAAGCCTTCGTGTTAAACCGACGTGCTCGTGAGTGTTAGCGAGCGGAGAGCATTGCTTTGTGCCGGTGTGCGCGGAGAAGCCAAGTGCCGTGGCGTGATCGCCAGCGACAGGTCAGAGACCTTTGCTTCTCTGCCTTTTGGCTGAAATCAAGTCCAGTGGGTGCCACGGTGGCGAGATGTTCACTACCTCGCCTGGTATACAGCAGGCCGAGTGTTCGATCCCGACTTCGACGACGCCTCTTGTATATTAGGAGTTTGCATGCCAGGAAGATGTGCACTACTTGAGCGTATTGGTACGAGGCAGAGGAAAGTGGAAACAAGTGACAAAATGTGCAGTGGACACCTACGGGGCTATCTTCCCATAGATCGTGATGATGATGACGATGCAGTCAGTTTAAAATACCTCCGTCTTCTTCATGATGCATATTCTGAACGTGTGGCCACGGAGGGGGTAGATCACGATGAGGACGTCTCTGAATTCGGTGGGGATGATGTCTCGCCGATACTCCCGCGTGTGCTCGCACCACACCACGTGCACCTCGTCGTTGCCCAAGTGGCGGAGCTGCGAGGCGACGGTGGAGATGGCCCCGGGGCGGTGGGGACGGGGACGGAGGACGGGGGGGGGGGAACGTGCGACACACGGGAGAGTCGCGTGAGACGGTCCGTTGCTGTGACGACCACCAGCAAGGACGGCGACAAACGCGGCGGCGACGGCAAGGGATGCGGGCAACATTTAACGCACGTCGATAAAACAAAGTAAAAAAAAAAACACACTGTCAATATCACGTTGATGAATATACATGTTTGTTTGCTTGCTATACAATGTATGGAGCAGGTGGTGGTATAGTGGCTAGCAAGCAGCGCTTGGAACCCGAGGACCTTAGTTCGATTGCCGGCCACGGCAAACATCAGTGGCGAGTGATTATCACAACGGTTCTTGCCCTCGCCCCCACTTCACCAACCCATATTGACCAGCGTGGTGAAGTATGGTCAATAAACCCCTGCGAGTGACACGGCGTGGGTGCGGGATGTTAATGGTTCTGTACCTCGGTTGGTTTGAGCGACAACAACGCAAAAGGAGGAAAAATGCACAATTCTCTTTCGTGTGACCTTTGTGAAAGGCATAACACAGTGGTGCATCTCATTATGTTGGTGTCGGCATTTAAACATGTCAAATGTCACATTAAACAACTGCAAACCAGTAGGTTGAACTTCAAAAATGATTTCAATAACAGGTCAAAATAAAGCTCGCGTGTGATTCTGTCAGCAACCAAAGTCGACATACAATCGACTATTCACACACCGCTATTATCAATTAACTTGATTTATTACCGATTTACCCGTCGATGTTAGTTATTTTACACAAAAACAAATTACCAGGCAATTACAGTAACAGCCCCCTGCTTGGAGAGCGATATTGAATTTTCTGTGCAAGGCGTGATGATAAATAACGTACATTAGGGGAAATGTTTGCCGTGTTCACACATAGATTATCGATTCAAGCTGCTGGCAGTGCATTTTTGTTAATTTAACAGTAGATACCTAACATGCATTTGATAGCATTATAAAACGTATTTTGTTTTACTTATTTATCCGGGAAAGCCACGCTGAATCATAGGTCTCTCTTTTAAGAGGGTCCTCGCCAAGATGGGTTTTAATTACAAGATGTTTTCAGCCAATTGATAGAGTAATTTTATTCCTGTTGCTATATGCCCCCAACAGCGTTCCCTTTCTGCTGCATTGTGCACGGACGCCTACTTTATTGAGGGCGATATTGGCACACAAAGTAAAAATTGATTGATTAAGTCGTTGGCGACTGAGCTGAGGCCATCAACTCTGCTTGCTTCAGAATCTGCCTTCATCACGGTGGGCGGCCACCTGGATTCGCAACCAGCCCTCTGACCTCTGCATGTTGAACTTCTGTCGCACCGTGCGTAGCCAGCCTTGCTAACTGGAGGTGCGGGAAATAGGACAACAAGCTAAACACAAAAAGCAGTTCTAAAGAAATGAGTTTTCAATCTAGATTTAAAAGCGCACAGCTCCAGTGGTTTTCTAATATCGGAAGGAAGAGCGTTCCAGACGGCCGCAGAAGCGCGCATCTGAAAGCGCCGTGCTTTGCAGTGACCACCTTTGTTCGATGGCCAGCCAGGATGACCGGAATTTGCGTGATGGTTTATGCTCCTTGACGAAATTAGCAAGATATTGTGGTTCATTTGTGCCAAGTCGCCCAGCCCATCGCTGGTCCATTACCTTCTTCGTGAGCGCGTCGTCCGTGTCGGAGGGCATGCGCGTCGACACGTGATAGATGACCTCCACGGTGGAGGTGGCGTAGTATGGAGCAGTGAGCCCATTGCTGCCATTCCTCTGTAGCCCCCCGAGAAAGCCACAGTGTCTCGTCAGATCCACCTGGCGACAGACGAGAAGGCAATTCGAACCTCTTAATCCAATTAAGGTGCTTTAATTAACACTATGCAGCATGCCAAGATGTGGTATTCCAGAAAAACTTCAGTAACCTTGGTTCCTGAGAATACATTTTATTTGCATTGCGCCTCATTCTCAAACATGAAAACTGAGATATAATGGCAAAGGTGCAGCCCTGCAATCGCTTGATCACGCCACCCTAGAGAATATTTGCCCACACTTTACCCCAGCGACACTGCTCCTCGACAGAATCCTGCCGACCAGAATCCCTACTCGACCAATGGTCTGCACTACCGCCACCCTGCTGCCCCCCCCCGCCCCGCCGCCCCCCCCCCCAAGGAGATAAAGAAACGCAGGTCGATGAAACCCAGGTGGCAGAGACCTTGTGGTGGCTGCTGTCAAAAAAGCACTCAGCCAGTGGTGTCGGCTGACACATAGATGCTCGTCTTGTCGTCATGGGGATGCTGAGGATGACTGGGAGAAGGGGGGTCTCATGATGAGCTAAGTGGAAAAGGGGCTCGTTGCATAAAAAAACTTAAGTTTCAGTCTCTGAGAGAGAGCTCACTTATTTCAGCTACCAGGGGGGAAAAAAAAACACTCAATGTTTGTTGAACACCAAATATACAGTAGTGTCCACCACCACCACCACACAAAAAACTACCTACACGAATTGCAAATAAAAAAAAAACCCTCCCCCCTGCATCCCACTTCTTCCCTGACTCTCGAATTCTAAGAATTTAAATGGGTCCTCAAAACTCGGGGAGCATCCACATACGCAGTAGGCAATGCTCTTTCACGCATCGTAACCCGCATCCCAACCCCAAGGGTCCAAGCTGTAACAAGCCCAAAGCAGCATAGCATCTTACAAAAAGCATAGATTTGTACAATGATACTTCACATGGTACATGTTGCTGCCCACTTGAAAATGTATCATGTCCTTCACAACTGGCCATCTCTCTTCATCAATAACAATTCCTTGGTAGGATTGATTTGTCATTTTGCCTTCCTGTTTCCATCATTCAACGTGCCATATTGGTGCATTATCTACTTGTTACGCGTTGCTTTGATCTCGTTGCTTATTGGCTACATCGTGAATAAACCGTCAAGGAACACTAGATAAAAAAACGTCTGGTTGTACTGTATATTACTGCCAATTAGAGCAAACCTGATTTCATCGCTCTTTCGGTGCTTAAGAGTCCGAGCAATAGAGGCAACGAGCGGGCACCTCCGATGCGGCCGACGTTCATTTGCCGCTCGCAACCGAGGCACTCTGCTGGGAACGGACATTGCAAAGGGTCACCGTAGGTCACAGCAATGGCCGGCGGGGCCCCCACCGTTCTCACCTCCCAGCCCAGTCCGGCGAGAAAATCTTCGTAGGACTGGCTCCCACCGGCGTTCGACAGGATGGAGTGTTTGTCTTCCTGTCCCTCCGCGACGAACAACACGGCGATTTTGTGCGTCTCTCGGCTGGCAGGAGCGGGGAGGGGGGGACACACAGACTGGTGAGCGCTCGATTAGCCTTGCGGGGCTGCGTTCGTTCGTTGCTTACCATGTTGTTTTGTTAACGACAAAAAATATATATACACCACCCCGGGTAGGTTTACACAGTTGCACTGTAAGAGATCGACGTTCGTTCGGATTTCACTCCGTAGGTTTTGCAAAATTGCATTCAGAATCGGAATCTTTATTTATCCTGGAGAAATCCGATGAGCTATGAAGCTCTTTTTCACAGGTGTTGAGCGAAATGTTGCGGGGCATCTTGCCGAACGACACGCGGTGCGACCAGAAAACATCACAGAGAGATCTACAGCCGAAACCGTTTTCTGATAAACTGACAATGAGTTCAATGATCTGCGACGCGTTCAATAATGGTAAATTACTTCCCAAAGATGTGTGCATAAATACGAAGTCCGGACTACATTTGAAATGATCCGAGATTGTTTATGGTTATTTCCATGACAAGTCTTATGCAATAGACGTTATGCCTTTCCGCAATACCAATTGGTTTGTTGTATTATTAAACAGTTTGGTATTAAATTTCGATTTAAAGCTTTCGTTACTGCAGGGATTCATATTCTTGGTTCTTTCGGTAAAGTCAAGTAGAAGGGAAATAATAAAATAAAATGAATTAAACAATAAAATTCTCACGACGTATCGATTGCAACACGAGCAATCAACATCAGGTGTGAAAACCACAGCAAGAACATTTGAAAAAAGTGGCGTTTTTTTCTTAATGTTAGCACCACGGACAGCAACTGGCGGGTGTTCAGACAGCGTAGACGAGTCCATCTATGCTCGGAACGTTCCGAGCATAGATGGACTCGTCCGTCTGAACAACCTCCAGTTGCTGTCCGTGGTGTTAACGTTAAGAAAAAACCGCCACTTTTTCAAGTTTGGTATTAGTTACGCAATTCATTAATGTATAGTCAAATGCATATTTCACTTCATGTAGAACATACCAGTATTGAGAATCCAAGTTTTTCAATTCCCTTAAAAGCTTTTCATTCTTTTTCAACAGGTCAAAGCTTCCTCTGCAAATGCACACACGCACATGACCACACACGCGCGCACACACACACAGTCACGCACCAATGAAAACCGGCATCACAATTCGCATTGCGACACGTCGATTCATTAATTACAATCGGCTCTTAGGCTCACTATACAAGCATTTAATCTCACGTGCATGAACACTCCCCCCATTGTCCACAATTGTATTCACGTGCGGACGTAATGCTCGAGCTACATTTTGACGAATGGAGGGGAGAAAACTGTAGAAGAGACGGAAGAAAATGTGGCACAGTACAAACGAGAAGTTTAACACGTAGGCTGTCGCGACCAATATCATCCACAAATCTGGCTGTCGCCTGACGAAGCTAGTTGTAATTACTGTCTAAACGTCGTACTCAGATTGTAAATGTGGCTTGGCTCTCCAACATGTGCTGTACTAGTGACGAATTGGCCACGTTCTGTTTACGTGACAACCTTTACTAGTTGGCTGTGTCGGGTGGTGGCGGGTTTTAATGACACATTTATATATTTACGTGATATAACCAAAAAAAAACCCCTCTATTATGGACAAACGAGAAGGTAAAAAAAAAGGAGAAAATATAATAATCGATTTTTTGTATTTGAATCACGATGGCAAATCGTGACAATTTAACTTCTAATTTTCATTATGGGCATGAATTGCCACAGCCCTAACATTCTCCTATTCCAAACCTGAATGCGTCGTATGGCCGTGGGAACCTTAAATATTGACATGTGTATACATTTTATACGGTAGTATTTATCGGTTTATTTCTTTACAAGTGGCAGGTGTACCTAATTGCAGCGCTACGACACGCCGCGCGATTACATGTACGCAAAAAACGCATCGCACTCCTTTGGATGTCACGGAAGAGTGAATCCCACCAAAATACAATGCGGTGAAAGGAAAACGTGCAATGGAAACGTTTAAACACGGGCTACTTGTTGCAAATGCTATCTTTAAAAAGCATACAATGACATACTGTACCACAAAATGGTGCACTTTTTCACTGCCTACACTCAAACATAATGGTGTCTTCGAGATCCTTAGACGCTATGATCATATCTTCTGGAGGAATGCTCGTCGCATTAATATATTGTTCCTGATAATAGTAATACGCTCAAAAACACACTCTGATCTAAACTGTGTAGAATTTATATAAATCTGCTTTTTTTGGAGGCGCAAAAAGAGAAAGCTAATTTATATAATATTCACTTTCAGATCCGCTGCACCACCTGTGGATGAATGCGATGACGATCAAAACCACACCGTCAATGATCCACGAGGTCATCGATAAATCAATGAATATTGAGCACAATTTTCTGCCACATGCTTGGGAGCCGATTTATCGCAAGTGCGCAGAGGCGGGCTGTTAGGGACTCTTGCACGCGTCTCCGATTCCACTGAAAAGACCAGGTGTAAATAATAAATACAAGATGACCCTCCACCAATCCCCCCTCGCAAAATAGATAACTACCCAGTGCTGCTTCATCTGTGAAGGTCCACTCATACACCGTGGGTTCATGGGGTCACAGACGTCCAGAATCCACAAGTGAATGTCACACCCCCCCCCCCTCGCCCCCCCCAACCCCCTCCCTGATCACTACATGAGAGGCATGCAAGGCCTCATCGATTCAAATCAATTCCGATACAGGCATGGAGAAGGGCACGAGATCATGAATTATTTACCATTCAAGCAACACATACGCGACTGTTGTATTTACGCTAATGGAACAAATGAAAACTGGAGGAACAAAATGTGACCAAAAAAAGGAGAAACGAATACAAACAGGAGGGTAAAATAACACAACAAATAAACATATTCTGGAATTAAATCAAGATCACAAATCATGCCAACAAGATCATGACCACAGATCGCAACAATTCCTGGAACTATTTTCAGAAGAATTGTGAGCACGCTTACCACATCGACCCATGGGTTTTTCTTTGGGAGGTTTAGGCCACGTGGTAGTTTTACGCCAAAAATGTCACATCATTAACCCTCCACAACCCGACAAGGTTGTCACGTTTTAACAAATATATTATACTGGTAGGAACCACCTGGTTCCACCAGCTCACAGGGGATTATTGTGTCCGTCCGTCCGTTGTGCATCCAAAAATGGGAGGGGTCGGGCTGGGTGGAGAGGGGAGGGTGGGGCTGGGTGGGGGGTGGGAGGGATGGGGCTGGGTGGGGAGAGGCTGGTCACCCCGTGGTACCCTTATAAAACTCAACGTTTAACCTACTCACGCCGGCTTGTGCCCGCCCTCATAGTCGGGCACATTTGCGGAATACACCACGCCGCCGTTGACCCTGGCCATTGACCGAGCAACCGAACGTTCCTTCCAGCTCCCTCCGCAGGAATGTGTTTTAGGAGTGGCCAACGTATCGATTAAATTCCTGCCAATGAACCTCCTCCTCGCAGGAGGCTTCGAACTTTCACGAGTGAATTTGACGTGGTGATGTTTGAATTGAGTCGTGACAAAGTCTTGATTACAGACCTTTGTGGTTCGGTGGCGGGCGGCCGCCCTGGTTAATGCCGCGCACTGGAGCCGATTTACTGAATTTTAACCGAAACAAACCTGCCGTCCGCTTCACGGCGGGCGCTAAAGATCGCGAGACGTCATCCAAAAAAGAGTAGGCCACGTGTGCCCGGCGTCAAAGGCCCTACTTTGATGATGACTCACAAATTACCTGATTGGATGAAGCCACAGAGCAACATCGCCCCCTACTGTGGAACTACTGCGGACTATAATTGTCTGCGAAACGCATGCCTTTTGTCCGCGAGAGCTCTGCGCTAGTCGACTGACGTGAAAACCAGACTGAACGAACGGTTTGATTCGATTTCAATATTCCCCGTTGCATTTCCAAGAGACGAGGCTGACGGGGGGGGGGAGGGGTGGGGGGGGAGTGGGGGAGCAGGCTGTGTACCTCTTATCCCACGAGAGGAGGCCAAGGTCGTTGAGCAGCAGGCGGCAATAGTAGAAAGTGGAGGACGGCTCCGTGGGCTCGGGCTCCGTCTGTGGAGCGGCTGCATTTGCAGAGCAAGAGGAGATCGTCAGCTGGCCCTCCCCGGCCAGGTGTGCCCTCTCTGCCTGGCTCTGCCTCCACAGGCACTCCATAAACAGCGTCTCGTCCCCAGGCTCGGCGAGGGGTGCGGGCGGGTCGACGGAGGGCACGTGAAGCGGCAGCCCGGGTCCTGGCAAACACTCGGGGCTGCTCTGTCCCACGTAGCGAAGCAAACTGTCCAGGGCATCTTCTCCGCCTTCCAGGGCGTCGTACGTCGGCAAGCGGTTTCTGCCGCTCGCAGGCGCGCGCTCGCTCTGCCCACCGTTCGCTTCGGAGCCTCCAGGCGCTGGATCCCGAATGGTCCAGTCGCCGCCCGCAGGAGGCGCACCTCCAAACGCACCTTCGGCAAGGCCGCCGTCGGGCTGGGCGACGCCGTACAGGAGTGTGCTGTCCCACGTGTACTTCCCGGAGACGTCGCGTGCGATGAAGCGCACGTCGCAGGCCGGGGTTTGCAGCCCCGCCAGCTCCGAGCTCCTGCCCGGAGAGAGCGGCAACTGGACGAATGACAGGAGGGAGTCGCCGCCGCCGCTGTCGGCGTGCGACAGGACGAAGAGCTGCAGGTTGGGGCTTGAGAAGAGCTCGGGGCCGATGCAGTCGTCGCCACCGGCGCCGGCGGCGCCGCTCACGCAGGGATTCTCGTGGCCCTCGGTCAGCAGGCTGGCCAGCAGTGCGGGACCGCCGCCCATGGGGTAGTGGCCCAGGTGAGTCAGCAGGTGCACCATCACGGTCCAAGCCGCCAGGGGCACGGGGTCATGCTCGCTGCCCTCGGAGCCTGAGAATAAATGACAGACGCCGCTTTAATGCGAATGCGTCTCAACAATTGCACGATAAGTAATTACTCGTGTACGGTGTTGCTTTGTGCATTGAACGGGGTCCCATGGTTTATATGGAGTGCTCTACCCAATAAAATCCTGTAATCCGGCAGCATTTGTTAAATAAGTCTGACTGCTGATGAGACCCAGGTGGTCGAAACAAATGCTGCTTGGTAATATTGGTCAGGAAAGCCAATTGGTTGATGGTTTAAAAAAAACATATTTGTAAATAAATAATGAGTTGTCATTGATGATTAACACTGGGATCCAACCCTTGAAATACTAGGCACTGGTCAAGTGGTTCCGTCTGATTCCATGATATTAAAAAAAACATTCTAAAAGTCTTCTACAAGGCGGTGCAAGAGCCTGCAACATGTGATGACAGCTCTCTTTGACCCAGGGCTGCATCTTAGGGTAAAATGTGTTGGTGAAAAGGTTTTTTTAATAGAAGAAAACACACGCACACATATATATTTTATCACGTGCAGCATGATACTTTGACAGCATTGCAGGGAGGGGGGGACAACTCACAAGTTCAAGTACGTGACAGTTTATAAAAAAAAAAACATTTACACCTTTGCAAAAGCTAAATTCATCTAAATTTTTTCCGACATTGAAAACTCAAACCTTTCCAAATCAAAGCGAACATAGTCTGTAAAGTAAGTAATCATCAGTCTACATTCATAATTAAGAACGTAAAACAAAAGTGAGTAAACACTTAATAAAATACCCCAGCAGCATGGCTGACGAGCAAAAGCGTTTATACCAGGATTGACCTATTTTAATAATTGATCACATTGCAATTATCGATTCAACATCACGCACGCGGGATTATTTTTTCGGCAATGCGATCGAAGCGCGATTCCCCGTGATTTTTTAAAAAAATCGGCCGCGCGGCTTCACGTTCGCAAACGCGCAAAGCAGTGACCACGAACAACAAAGGGGGCGAAAAACGGTGAGTCATGTTGATTTTTAATCCTGGGATCACCAGACACAGGGATAACAACACCATGGGAAATAAGCCAACTGTGCGCCCAAAGAACCTCACCCCCCCGCCCCCCCAAAACAAAAACCCTCCTGCGCCTCCAGGTGAGTCATAAGCTCGGAGATAATGCATAGGTATTAAGGGGGGAGGTAATTTTACATACAGCTGTGGACGTCTAGAGACTCGCCGTGCATTTTACAACGCGCCGCGCACGCGCGCCTGCCTCCCTCGGCGTCCCTTTCAGCGCACACCTACACCACGCACAAAGGAGAGCCTGCAGCCGCCAGCACTTGTCATTGCTGCGAATGAGGTTAAGTCCTTTTAATGACCGGAGACGAGTTTTCAAACTCTCGGTAACCTTCCATGCGAGGCATTGTCTCCCACTTTGCGTCCCTTTACCATTAGCCTCGCCGTAAAAGGGTTTTTAAAACCGAGCCTGCATCCAGTGAATGTTGCTTAATTGCATTTCAGCCCAATGCCACTTTCCCCCCCCCTCTCCCTTCTTCCATCCATTTCTTCACAATTAGAAGCTCGATCGCAAGCATACAAAGGCCAATGGTGAAAGTGGGTTTTACGTTGGCAATCACAACCGCAAGGCTTGGTCTCCTTTTAACATTAAAAGGTTCCTTGTTTATGGGTCTGGGATTTGATGTTGACCCAGAAATAGGATTAGAGGCAGGAGGCAGGTGATGTTTGTGTGGAGAAGCTTTGTGCGAGGGATAAACAAATAAATAAATCCAAATCCCAGACGCTTTTTTTTTACTTAGGCCTTTTGCACCTCCACCCTCCCCTGCAGTGATATTATTCTCATCCATATCTATTTTACTATTTTTTGTGTCCATGTATATATTGAAAAAATTGATGTACAATAGATATTTGTATTATTTTTCTGCACGTATATATTTAACAAATGTTTTGTACACATATATTTTGAAAAAAAATGCACACATTTTTTGTTGTATTCGTATATAAATATTTGTAAATGCCATCAAACTACGTGTCAAATTGACGTAACTCGCTGACCCAGCCCCCGCTGAGCTCTATAGCTCATCGGATTTCTCCAGGATAAATACAGATTCTGATTCGGATGTTTAGATGCCCAGCCAAAGGATTGCATCTCCACTTCAGCAACCGTTTGTTATGTAAATGTGCTTATTGTGATACCATAAAATTATTATTGTTTCATAAAGGAAGGCGCTATTTTTACACTGACGCTCTGCAGTCATTTCACAGCAGGGGGCGATGTTGCTGCGTGTAATCCCAATTGATTAATTTGCTAGTTATTTCCCACATTTAGACCTTGGCGCCGGCGGCACACAAAGGTCGACTTCTTCAAATGTTACGGGATCTTTGACGTCCACTGTGAAGCAGACGACAAACGTTGTAGGCGTTAACACGCTAGCAGTATTGACCGGGGCGGCCTGCCTGGATCGAACCGCGGACCTCTGCAACCGGTAAATTCTTCACATGATCATAACATTACATATGAACCAGAGGTGTTTTTGTTGTTGTTGTTAAAGCAACATTGTTTCCACAATACAGTAAAACCCTTGTTAATTCCACACATTCGGGGCTCTGACTTTTCCGAATTATCCAATATTCATAATTATGTACAATGGTATTCCCCAGTGCTTCCTGCCCCAATCATGTTTTTCTGAAAAAAAAAAAATTCCAAACTCTTCCCACACCATACGCATTGACACACACCCTACATCAATTCTATCAAAAATTTTGTATTTGTCTCGCAGACTAATGGATTTATACTTCAGTCCCTTTCAACCACTTCTTGATGTGGGTTATAGATGACATGTCTGAGAGGGTCTGCTGGCACAGAGCGCATAAACGAGGTAAAGTCCAAAGCAACGTGTCTGAACTCGCGCTCACCACGTGGCCCGCCTCGAGACCGAGTCTTTGATTTGGTTGTGGCGCGTGGCATCGCTCCACGTGCATGCCGAAAATGGACCATTCGGTACGGCAATTCGGCTTATGGCGAATGACTAATACTGTATAAGTACCGAAAGCACAGCCGTGCTGAATTATCCCCAATTATGAATGATCAAATACCGAAATAACGAGGTGTTACTGAAGATGAACAAACTGAGATCAAAATCCTGAAAATGAAATTGGGGACTACTAGGTGGATGTAGAACCATGACATAAGAGATTAGCTAAATCCTCCTACAAATTAATTAATGCATTGCCGTACACGTTGCAACACGTGTAATTTAATTCTAAACAAAACACTGATATTTACAGAACATAATACAACATGTAAGCAGACCGCCGAGTGTGAAATGTTAACAAAGAAGGTATTGCTTGCTTACAATGTAGTTCCATAAAATAAATCTGAGTTGCAAGGTTATAATGACGATGGTAATAAAGAAATCACCACAAAAACATTTGAGGTTTTTTGTTGCTTCATAAGAACAATCACTTTCAGTGAATTATAACAAAAATAATGTATTACAATTGGTATTCGCACAAAATTCTCGCAGTCCAGGGCTATTACAATGGCGCCATGTGCCATGTACGGGACGAACATAGTCTTCCGGTATGGAGCGACGATGCAACCTGTCATCCCAATTGACTCATTTTGTTTCAAATTTAAATCTGGATTCTGATCCGGGGCACGCAAAGGTGTGTTCATGTTGAACGACCTCACAGGATCGTTAACGTCCACCGTGAAGCAGACGGCATAATGAATACCCCCGGAGCATTTGCCAGGATGGCCTGCTGGACTCGAACCACGGACGTCTACAACAAGTGATGAATGCACGCTACCACTGGGCCATATCACCGATATTGTGACTATGGAGAGAGTGGCACTCTCCTTAATCTACTCACAAACTGAAGAGTGTTACACGTTTGTAATCCTTGCTGAATTGTGAAACAACATGGCTCAAGTCAAGTTGCCTTATATTGGCTCAATCAACTTCACACACATTTGTACAGAATCCTTCAACCTTAAGAAAAATACGCTGAGCATAATATTACTTCCTAAATCCACCGCTGGATGTAGGCGATGTTTAGTCATGAGAGTTATTTAACCAGAACTTGGTACACGAGTCGTTGTGGGTTGGTACGTTTAACGGAGGGATTATGAGCAATATACATTTTTTTGTTATAGTTTTATGCATTCTTGGACGCTATGTGTTCAAAAATGATTGAGTAACGTGTTATAACCAAAGAGAAATAGATAATGATATTAGCATAGGAAGACTTCCAGGAAGAAATTGGCATTAACACATGTTACATTTGGTGCCCTTGGTCAATCCACTGCTGGATGGGGACCTTCCCAAGCTTTGCGGGAGATAATTTGACCATACACCAAGCGCAAGTTGGTGAAGGTGGGGAAGTACGGCACAACAATGGGTGTTGCTGTACCGCCCGTCTGCCGTTCACCATGTAGCCCAGCAGCAGTCTGTGACAACCTGCCGCGCCTGATGCTCGCCCATCCACCGCATCGCGCGCCGCTTTCAGATGAGCTTCTGCGGCCGTCTGGAAAGCTCTTCCTTCCGATATTAAGAAGCCACTGGGAGCAATGCATTTTTAAATCTAGATTGAAAACTCATTTCTTTAAAACAGCTTTTTGTGATTAGTTTGTTGTCCTTTCCCCCACGTTTGGCTACGTACGGTGCTACAGAGGTTCAACGTACATACATCAAAGCCAATCCAGGCTCAAGCCTGCTCAGCTGCCCTCCGAAGTCTAACGACGTCCTACCCCTGTCGGCGATTCAGCCAACGGAGGCAGAACGCCTTCGCGCTTCTACCACGATCACCCGGCATCATTACCTGGGGCGCAGGCAACGGACGCAGACTGCTCGGCCAGACCCTCGGAGCGATCCTTGCGGTCTTCCGGCGAGGCCTGAGCGTCATGCCCTGCCGAGGCCGGCGCCTCTGCCGGTCCCAGGGGAGCGTAGCCGGGCTGCGCGAACGCCGCCGATCCGTGAACGCAGCCGTGCAGCACCTGTGGGAGAAAGCGGCACGTCAGCACGCGCGGACACAAACAAAGGATCCTTCGTGTAGCCTCAACAGACTTTTGGGGGCAAGTGCTATTGGTGAGCACCTACGAAGGCTGGCAGGACACACAAGAGGGCGGGTGGCCAGCACCACGTGCCGCTATGCACGCGCATCGCCCGTTTATCAATGCACTGCTGGATGAGGGCCTCCACTGCCTCAGTGGACATCCTATTTAAGGAGTTATGTTGCATTAAAACCTTTTTTTAAATAGCGTATCGTTAACGATAACTGATGCCCTTATTTATTTGCACAGAATGTCACATTAAACCATCATCTGCCATCGTCTATCGACTGCTGGATGAAGACTGCCGCGAGCCATCGCCATCTCTCACGGTCCTGTGATGCAAACACCCATCCATCCATCTCAGATCGCTCCATCTCTACCGGTGCCCATTGGCTCCGGTGTGTTTGCGCCGTCACAAGTTCCGTAGTTTGAACACCGAGGTAGTGTCGTAACAGTTCGTTTCCCAGCCCACAGCTACCATCAGTGGAAATTAATAGCCGAACCAGTCCTGGCTGCCCATCCCCAACTTCCACCTTCTTCAATCCACATGAACTAGCACGGTGAGATATGGTTGAACAAACCAACCCCCACCCCCCCCACCCATGACTGGTACATTGGAGGAAAGCCTTTATCCCGCACGGAGAACTGACAAAAGACTTTAAATTATGCTCAATTATTTATCGTGCAAAAAATGCCAAATTGCCTATTCTTTATTTTTAATGATTTCTTTTACCAGGTTAGGCCCACTGAGCTATACAGCTCTTTTTCCGAAGTGACCTAGCCACAAATGATAGCTCAACGAAGTGGCTTATGTTGACATTAATAACACACAAATACTCTAAGCGCATGTTTCTAAATGTGGAGGGAAAAACCAGAGCACCCGAAGAAAAATCCACACCACCACGGGAAGACAGAATATGAAAACTCCAAATATACAGCAGGCGCCAAGGGTCGGGATCGAATCCACTACCTCCTGCACACGAGGCGAGGTAGTTAACATCTCACCAGCCTACTTTTGTCTGGGCCGCTGAACGCAGAGCACGCAATGAGAGTTGAAATATTCCATTTCATTCCCCGGACCAAAGCGCAGGAGACGAGCAGAATCATGAAACGAAGCCGATCTGAATGGCTTTTCTTCTTCGTGGCGCACACTGAAGGGAGCATCTCAATTATGCTGAATGTTAATTATAATCATTGGCATGGCGGCATCACTAAGCAGCAGTGGTAAAACAAACAAAAAACTTTCTCTATAGAAACAAGAGCAGACAGACAAGGACATTAGAGATGGCACACCTCCCAGGTTTAAAGATGCACCTACCTTATTAGTGGGCGAAGACTGACAGTTGACGAATTAATCAATTAGCTCCGACTGTTTTTTTTTTTTCGCCTATCGTGAATAACGGGGGAACAGAAAAACGAATCTCCATATCTGATTTTTTATTTTTTACAAGCTCTATCAGTGGAAGCTTTTTTGTTCATTCTCAACATTGCAGCATTTACCACTTGGTCCTCGTTTATGTAAAATATTACTTAAATGCCAGTTTGCAGAGCAAACACAGCTATAGCAACTGGTAAACAAAACCAGCACAAGCATCTCCATGGCAACAGACGCTTCACATTTTACTCAAGTGCACCTGCAAAGCCCATTTCGAGTCCTGCTGCGAGTTTCCCCCGAGTGGAATTGACCGCAACTATTCAGAAGGACACTGCTCTGGCGAAAAAAACCAGCCAGTTGCAACGAGCTCCCCGAGCAGTTGCAACGAACTCCCCGAGCAGTTGCCCGGTTCGGAAACCGCGCCTTGTCTCGGCACGATGCCGCCCGACGTTCCGGAAGAAGCTACTGTGACGACGTGGAGGAGAAACGTCGCACACTCAGAGCTGCCGTGCGACGCGACCGCCAACACCCACGCGGAGAGCGGCGCGACGACTCCCGTCGTCACGCGCGGGACAGAGGTCGCAATCAGGTACCCGATACCCGTACCCTACCCGATACCCGGCCACCCGTACCCGGCCAGGTACGGGTACGGGTACCCGTTTGCGACCCTGGTGCGGCCGGGTACGGGTACGGGTAGGCCGTGAGTCACTGGTGAGTAACCGTTTGTCCCTCATTTCGGGTAGGGTACGGGTACGGGAAGGGAACGAGTACCTGTACCCGGCTGGGTACGGGTACGGGTACCCATTTGCAACCCTGGTGCGGCCGGGTACGGGTAAGGAATCAAAATCCGTTTACGACCTCTGGCGCGGGAGCAACAGGAATACTTTTTCGAGGTTGAGCTCCCGGGACGAACGGGAAGCCGCACGCGATGGACATAATCTGAAATCCTTATTATGCGTGCACCCCTGGTTCCCTTCTCAAAAGAAGACGGCCAAAACACATCCAGCACCTCCTTCCCTTTCTTCAATCATTTGCCGACGAATGCCACGCGGTCGAATTATCGTTGATGGCTTTTGTGAGGAGAAAATAAGCGAAGACCGCAGTAAAGGTCAGGTGTGTAATCGGCAAAATCATCTTCCCATTACACAAAATAATCTCCGGATACTCCCACACAGCTATACAATCCCATAATTTGATCTAAAAATTGCGTATTTATTCTATGAAATGGCATAAAAACCACGTGCGCGGATAAGCGACCCAAATCAAAAAGGATATATTATAAACATAATAGCTGTAATTGTTTTGGTATGATTAATTCGTAGCCCTTTTTAGCCAAGCACGTTGAACATTGGCACCAGAAGGCAGTGTCTCTTGAGTTAGCCCATTTCGGGGCCCTAAACAGAAACAAATCTTTGGGTGCCTCACCCAATTCCAGACGTTATATGATAGTCAATCTACGTGCTGCGCGAAATAACTATACCAACAGACTCATTCGATATTTTAAAGTTCTTTTAATATTATTTTCACACTACTCGATCGGCAGGTGGCGTGTGGTGGAGTAAAGTGTGGGTTCTCACACCAATTACGAAACGCCTGCCCAGCTTCCAAAAGTGGGCCGAAATACCCTCCCGGAGGAGCTCTCTAAAGCTCACTCTCTCGGTGATGCCCCTTTGTCCAGCAGTCGAATTAGCCAGCAATTGCAGGACTGTACCTTCACCACGTTTTTATTACAATGGATTATTGTTTAAACGTGTAAAGACAGTATGGGGTGATAGAGGGACAGTACGGCTCCCCGGGACCATGGTTACTAACTAACGTAACGTAACGGAACAGACAGGGTCATGTTAGGATAATGTGGGACCTAAATGGTTGCTAATAATGATTTGATGGGACAAGCGTTGTACAGGGTCGCGTGAGGGGAAGCACGGGACCCGACGGTCGTCAATTGTAATAAGGGCAGAGAGAGAGACAGGCCCAGGTGCGGTGAGCGAGAGTTCGGGAATAGGGCCGTGGGCGGGTCGTGAAAGAGATAAGAGCTGGCGCGGACCGGAACTCGCGGCTGTTGTTGTCGGGAATCGCAGTCGCCGCCTTGGAACGGGTCGTCTTCATCATCACCGTGTAGTCTTGAAGGGCTGGAGTTACGTTGTCTCAGACTAGAGTTATCTAAATTACCCAAGTGTATATAGTCACTCGCGGTTACTCGTTAAGTTGTCAGCGGACTTCATTCTTAATATAAAATATATCAAAGAATAAGACGGTGTCTCTGAGAGCTACATTACATATGTAAGAATCTGAGTCCGAGATATTATTTAGGGTATATCTATTTTTTCATGAATCTGGGAAGGGCCCCTTGAGATACTTGGGGCCCAAAGCATGTGCCTGACTTGCTCAAGCCTAACGCCATCGTGAGCGGCACGGCCTTTGTGAAGGTGGCCTCCGACGCACCTTGAACACGGAGCTGAGCAGCGAGGGCCGCTTCTCGCCGGGGTCTCTTCCGCACGCAGCCGGCGGCTGCAGCAGAGCTGGCAACGTCAGCACCATGCACCAGTCCAGCAAGCACAGCAGCAGAGACACCATGCGCTGGAAGGTCGGCTCATGCCAAACAAAAAAAAAGAGGAGCAAGGCAATGGACAAAAAATGGCAGAGGGTGCGTTAATTGGTTGCACGGTAAAAAAAAGGTAAGGAGGTGCGCAGCCGTGCAATCGCTGCCTTTTTTTTCACCAATGAGTGACATCGAGGCTAAACAAGAATCGCTCTTCGACTCCACTGATTTAAAAACTCCCAGCGGCGAGCAGGCCAAAGCCAAAAATGGTAGCGACAAAACACCTCACCACTGAAATAAGGGCGAGATCGTAAATTTCTCAGAGAAACCTCGGACAATTTCACAAGTGTTAACATCACATTACCGGTGTCAGAGCAAGGAAAACAACAGCATTTAATTTATCTGCTAAGATTTTCACCCAATGTGGCTCCTCGTAGACAAGAGGAGAGGGCGAAGCTCTGCAATTACAATCGCTCACACCACTGCTGGAGGAAGAACAGCCCCTCCAGCAGGTATCTTTGGCCTGGTCTTCCACGCTGGCTCGTACACGTCGTGCAAGACGACGTGGGAGTGCCCACGCTGTACCCCACCACACGGGACCTGCGGATCGGCCAACTGTGGGGTGTAGCCATCGACACCGCTGGGTGGACACGGGCGGCGGTGGAGATTTAAGAAACTCGCGCCGTTGTTTTCAACTGCCGCGCCGGGAGACTGAAGTGAGCCGGTGACCCTTGGATTTTAGATCCAGTGGGTGCCGACCTCTGCACCACGGCAGCAGCAGCATTATTATCCCGAGTCGTGCTTATCATATACGGGGTTCCGGGCGGTCTCCGCTTTTACGACGTTACAATGCGTTCCGGGAAAGCCCGTCGTAAATCGGACCCTATTTTTACCGCAGACAGTCGAAACAGCAGAAACGTAATTTTCCGGTGCGTTTTTCCTTTCTTTTCAGCCAAATTTAGCAGGGTTCAATGGCAAAAAAAAAATCCACAAAAAACATTTGAGAATATTAAAAGCTCCACGGCAAGTCACATCGGAGACCAGACCAAATCTGTTCAAATGTGTTTGGGAGTCTTTGTCGGCAGATGTGTAGTAAATCAAGTTTCTGCAGCTGTAAATCGATCCCTGGTGGAATTACATAAACAGATGTCTCAATAAGAGATGCCTGCAACAGCACAATGACACAAGCACAGAACAATTAATTTACCCTCTCATTGACTCTCCCTCTCACACCTTCCTTTGGCTAAAGTGAACGTGGAAAGCGCCAGATAACCACTGCAACATGTCGAGTCAAGCCAAGTTACCAGTCGTGTGAACTTGCTTTTTAGCTGGATAGTTAAGCTAAGCTATTGCAAGAATCTCCAAAGCAATTAGGATTCCAACAATAGCTGCAGAGGAGGGGATGGGGCTCAGCTGTTTCAGGGTCATTCTGGAAAATCAATAAACCAAATATGCATGTCCTTGTGAACCTATGAAATGGTGTCACTAATGGGAATGAAAATCCCTTAACACTATGCATCAAGACACCTTAACATTATCACCAACGGAATTGAAGTCATCACAATGGAATTGCTGGACATGATTTTGGTAGAATGTTCTTCTTTCTGTCTGGGCTATGCACTCAAACAGACGCATAGAATATTCATAATGAGAAAGCCAATGTCTCAGAGATGCACACAAAGACAAAGATCCCCCGTATAGCCTTAACAGACTGTTGGGGCATGCAAAGGGAGGGGTGGGTTTGCCAGCACCACGCCCCGCTGCCTTTGTCTCCCCAGTGACGATGTTTACACACCGTACCAGGTACTCATTTGGGTCTGAGTCGACCACACACACAGACAGACATACTCGGTTGTAAATGAAACACTCTGCCTCTTGTGAAAGCGTCGTGGAAATTGATTGCATTTTTTTTTATAAGGAAGTGAAATTTGTATTCCGAGTTACCTTTTTTTCCTCCTCTTGGCTCGAAGTTTCAGTGATGGGCAACAGCTGCGTGATCGTGGAAACCAGAGCCTGCAAACGCACAACAGAGACACAGGAGGACATGTTTACTCCAGCCCACCACCGTGCGCACAGCAGTGGAAGCAAGGGCATCGTGACATTTTTATTTTAAATGCTGGAAAATTTTAATGCCCCTCCAATTTGCAATTGACTGCACAATTAGGATAACGATTTTAAAACATTGCCCTGAGCACTCACGTCCAAATTTAATTTAAATGTTGCTGTCAATTTATCACCACACAAAGACCATTGTCTGCGCGTAATGGGCAATGCCACGATTTCGGATGTACATTTGCGACACTTTAACGATGTGAGTAATCATTAGTATAATGATAAAGTGGCTTTTTCACTTGGGCATAGCATATCAACCAATTAGGACTGTAATTCATAGAGATATAATTTGTCCAATTTTCTTGAGAGGAGACAAATGCTCATGGAATACCACGGTGTCACGAGCAATCATCCACTCTGCTCAGGTGGCGATGGTGCATTCAGTTTGATGTAAGCGCAAAACAATCGACTTATTCTGTATTTTACCAAAACCATAACCACCTTCCAAATAACACCCCATATATTTTATTGATGATGTAAACTCACGGCACGTGCGTCGAAAAGCGTGTATATACATCATATTCTGTTCACATCACCAAAAGCAGCAAAGAGAAGCGTCCACAGTCGCCATAGCAATGTAGCCATGAAATCATCGATTCTGTAATGTTTCGGATGACTGAGATGGCTCACTCCGCCTCTGAATATGGGCGCCACTGTGGCGAGATGTGAACTACCTCGCCTGGTGTACAGTTTTTCTCTCCACACATTCAGCAACACGAGTTTACAGTATTTGGCTACTACAAATTTCCACGCGATAATCCAAATCCGTTGAGCTTTCATTTGTGGCCAGCAAGCTTCTGAAAAAGAGCTATATAGCTCAGTGGGCATTAGCTAATTAAATGACAAACAGTTTTTGTTTAGAATATACACTGCAAATAGACGACTTGAGACTCCAACCTGCACGATGACAGAGGGCAGCTCTTCGCTGTGTTGTTGCAAATCGTCGGCGTACATTGCAAGCACGGTCAGCATGTCGCAGCTAACCTGAGCCACGGACCTGTGAGAAAACTAAAAAAAGCGACGATACAGACACGCACAAGCATCCCATTAGCAGGCAACAAGAACAAAGACTTGGACACATTTGTCAACAACACTGCTTTAAAAAGTATATTACTTTTGCAGTATATTACTGGGTGGTAGGTAAAGGTACAAGCCTGCAACTACTAGCTCATGCGACTGCCTCTAGAGATTGCATTGTTCATCAGCCTGTAAACCATTCAACGATCCCACTAAAATATTTCTCTCAGGGCACGCCTATCGAATTATGCGTGCAAGAACCAATTATTCCTTATTTATGAATACGGTATGTAAAGTGTAATCTAACCTTACAATTACGCGAAAGGAATGGACACAAATTGTATAATTGGGCCGAAATAAACCGTAAACAATACATAATATTTATTTTTAAATCCAGTCTTGACCTGGAATTGTCTCAATTCATAGTTTCACGAGGAGGGAGTGAATCGTCAGACGCTCAATGGTGGTGTGTCCTGAAAAATACCCAATTAGCAAACAAAATCTCTAGGAAGTAGGCTTTTATTGAGAGCAGGCCGATTAAGCAGATGAAAATGTAAATGATTAAATTCCTTGTGTGTCCATCTGTGGGGTTATGATATATTAAAACACTTTCAAAAGTGGATTGCAAAGAGTTCCAATGAAGCCAAAATGGGTTATCTATGTAACACAAAATTATAAAGAGTGATGTGAGAATATAAATAACAAGATAAGCAGACAATACGTCTCCTCTATGTATCTCTTTCTGCACATAAAAGGGCTGTGTGAGCAATACCGTAATGTTTTTTGTGTAGAGAGACTGATATATTACATATTTTGTTTACCAAATTTGTTATCTATATATGTGTGTTATCAAATCGTTACAAGGGCATCCTTTCAATTACCAGCTCAATCAAAGTGTTACTGCAAGCCAGCTGCTTCTTGAAGATGGACCACAGCACAGGACGTTAGCCAGCATTACGTGCGACTACCTGTTGATGTACTGAAGCAGCCACTCAATTTTAGGTTCAGTTGGAAGCTGAGAGGAAGCCCATGTCAAGTACAAAAGGGACCAGCCGCAGCTTAAGCACACGGCCCACAATCTACTGCTTACCCAATTGCAAATCTGCTCACAATCAACTGATTGAATAAGTACGTACCTTTGCGCAATATTTTTTTTACGTATGAACACTAAGTTCCAGAAAAACGACATTATTTAATGTAAATACACTCCAATTTTAAGTAGCGGAGCTACGCGGAGCACAGCAGAGGGCGGTGCTGATAAATACATTGTTGTACAATTCTTCTATTCCCTCACATGATTGCTCCCAGCCTGACCAGCGTGGTGAAGTATGGTCGAATAAACCACTCTCCCTGCCCACAATCTGCAGTGGCAATGCGAGGCCTTCATCCAGCAGTGGATTGACAAAGCACTGTACACGTGCATAAATGATCGTTCTGTTTGTTGCCAAAACTAATTTCAATTATTCGATGCCAATCGAACAACAACACGATCTATATACCTTCAGAGTAGCACAGATGACATGGATGGCGTCTGTCACCAGTGGATGCCGTGTACAATGCACCAGCTCCTCGCATATCCAGATTCCCAAACTGCACAGCGCGATGCATCTGCGGAGCGAGTATGAGCGACGGCAGGAAACGTACTTCAAATAGATCGCAGCATAAAATCACAACGTGGAAGTAGTTTGAAGCTTAAGCCAAATGGACCCCTGAAGCTATTACATTCAACGAATAAGACAATTTGCTTATTTTTATAAGTAAAACTTCGTTTACTTCACACACCAAAAAAAGGAATCACCCACCACCACTACTCACATGAATAGAATAATCCATTAACTGAAATTGATCTGCATGGGCACTTCACTGACATCAGAAGGCATTTTGAGAATATCTTGTTTTTTTCAAATCGATACTGCCGACTGTGCGTGGAAGGATGCCGGTTGTTGATAGGGCACCTGCGTTAACAAGCTACTCGATGAGCACTTGCCTGGCCGTTTCTGATGGTTCCTCTTTTGCTCCATTAAGGATGAGCTTCACGAGCTGTTCCTAATGGAAGAAGAAACCAGCAGCATTCTTAACATTTCAAAAAGAAGTGATGGAGCAGCAACAACAAAAAAACTTTTTCATAGATTCCACAAAACTTTTCTAAAATGCCATCCAGTACACGATGGGAGGAGACATTACTAAGTGTGGAACTAAAGTTTCTTAATACATTTTTTTGTTTTACGTACAGAACAATTGTCATTTAATATCATTGCACGGCACGCAGATATTCTCTCGCCGTCACCATTAAAAGAATAAACATTTCAGCCGAAAGACAGGGTGATATTTTCAGCTCGGACTTTAATGGACAATTAAATTAATCTCCCAACCGCCAATAATTACTGTTAACCTCAATACCCGGTGTTATTGCATTCAGCGGAATCTGCGAACGCCGCGGCGGTTGACGCTACGTGCAGCAAGAGAGGGTGTTTTGTGTCCGCCTTTAAAATTCCCCCTTCGACAGCCACACACAGCCCTGACTTGTGGGACACACGCATCGGCAGCGGTCACTCATCGTCGCCGGGACAACATCGTGGAACTCTCCAGCGAAGAGCGTCGTGATGGGGGTGGGGGGGAGGGAACACGATCACCACGAGGACTGCAGCAATTCATGGAGAAGAGCCCCAGCCTACTGGCCAGCACCTGCTCAGGGCAGCTCGGCAAGGGCAATAAATGTTGGTCCATCGGTGACGCCCACACGTCCCAACGAACGAAAATAAAATAAAAGACACGGAGCTGCGAACGAAACCGAGAGTGTGAATATATATACCTTGAGGCCCTCGCAGTCGGTCGGGGTGATGTCATGGAGGGTTGGGTGGAGTGCTGGCATCTCCCCATACAGGTTGGGGAAGCACACCAGAGAGCCGAGCAGGCTTTGCGTCTCTGCCCTGGGGGCCTTGACAAACGAAAACACGGCGGGGAAATACACGTTCCTTCGTTTTAATCCGTTGTGTTGTAGTGCGAATAAAAAATTAAGTGTTGGAATGATCCGCCACTCCCAACCTCCCCGAGCCTTACCCCCCCCTCCGCCCCCCTCCCCCCACCAGCGTTTTGATGAATTGTCACGATTCAAGGTCACCAACCGACTTAAAAAATATATATATTTTTTAATGCTGTCGTGAATGGTAGCGCCTCTAGTAGCTTGCAGGGATCACGAGAATCCATGACAACCGACATCTGAATAAAAAAATATAAATAATTACACCACACGTGTTTCGATGCACGTTGCCCGAGCTTAAGAATGAATATTAATTGATTGCTTATAAAAAATATAAGTAATCCCAACCCTACACAATGTACCAGTTACTAATGTCATGCTGAGTTGACCTATGCGAGATGTAAGATGTGTTCAGATATCGCTTTGCCATTGATGATAGCCGTGGCCTGGAATCACACTCACGTCACTGGGTTCACACAGTGCAGCGCACTTCTCACCGATCCACACCATGGTATGTGTGCCTTCACTACGTACTCGAGGTTGATGACTCGCATTCGGTCGAACCGAGCCTCTTAAGAGTTGCTCTTCATTGGCCATACAAAATCATCATCATCATCATCACCGCTATGTCGTGGCAAACTAGTGGCATAATGGAAGGCAGGCTACACTCTACTACCAGATGAGCAATTGGTGTCTCACAGCAAAACGCTGCCACTTCAATAACAATAGGGAGTGCTGCAGTGCAGGTGAGGGTAATGCCGGGAAGAATACAATTATTCCTGCCATCAGCAGGACATGTGTCATTCAGACGAACATTTTTTCATTTTTTTGACACTCGAGTGTTCGTTGGGGTTCTGGGATCGCAAGTTTCTCATACGGCTCGTGTGTGGTTGGGGTGGTGCAATATCCTGTGCCGTGCCGGCCTTCATAGGTGTTCACTAACAGCACTTGCCCCAACAGTCTGTCAAGGAGCTACAGGGGAGATCTTTGTGTTAGTCTTTGTTTGCAACGTCCTGTAGCCTAGCCACCTTAGTAGATTTGTGATGTATGCGTGCAAATTAATTGAAATAATTATAATAAAATTACCATGGGTGTTGTTGAGTGCATTCTATCGTGTAGAGTGTTTTTTTTTTACACCGTATTTCAGTCTTTCACACCGTATCTCAGTCTTTGGCACCGAACGTGCTCATCGGAGGTGTGGGGGAAGGTCAACAAACGGAACACACCAAAAAGCAGCGCTGAAATCCAGCCGATGAGAGAGAGGGAGCCGTTTACCTGGGAGGACTGGGAGGTCGCGATGCGGCTGGCAGCGAGCAAAAAGTCCCACAGCAGCATGGAGGAGCCCGGCAGCCCCAGGGAGAAGAAGTGCGGCGAGCAGTTCCTCATCACCACGCTCAGCACGTCCTGCGGGAGGGGCCAAAGAGAAGGCACGTCGAGTCTGGTCCACAAAAAAAAAATTGACAGCGACGAAACCATCGTCGTCGCCACCCATCATCCGTCGGCCGTGATCCCACCCACCCAAGCCGTCGACAACTCTCGCGGTTTCGCGATTCATCCAACCCCTGTGCGCGAGAACATTCAATTATTAAAAGATGATTCAATCGCTCCTCCTTTGGCTGCCACTCCATCGTTAGTCTCGACCAACAGCCATTGGCGCTTCAAGTGACACATCCTGCCCAAGCCCGTTAGCTTTTTAACGGCCAACGGTGTCACCCAAGTCACATATTGTCTCCACTCGATGGCTTTTAATGCATTCGTTCAGCTTTGGCTCCGTTTTTCTAGGTCAACATCCACGCTTGTGATCCGCGTGTGCCATAGCATGTGATACGCATTGATGGAGAACATTCGCTTTTGGGACCAATTGGTGAGCTGCTTTTCACAATCTGGTTGAACCGAACGGCGGACACATGAGTTGCCGCCCAATCTAAAGCGGCAACCCACTCCGATCGCCGCCAGAACAAAACGAGACTCAATGTGCAGAGGCATGAAGAAAGAAACAGATGTTACAGCACTTCCCGCGACGCTCCGATGTAACTTCCTGCATGGAATGAGCACATTCCATGATAACGACAATGGGCCATTGGTGATTGCTACGTGCGAGGCACACACCTATGCCGTGCTGTTGTTCTTTTGAAAACAGAACCGCAACGCAAAACACGTAGGAGAGCCGATGAAAAGAGAGACAAAAGGGGGGGAGAGGGTAGTTGTGGGGGGTCCGCGAGGGGGGGGGTGGGTTTTTGGCCAGATTTGTCCTGCCTTGGCCCAAGTCAAATCGCTTCGTATGGGGGCCGTGCTTGAGACATCGCGCATTTGAATACGTGCGCACGTATTCTTGGGGGAAGCGAATAATTGCGACAGCTGCTCTGCAAATAGCACCCGGTGCTCCGGGCTCTCTCTTGACGACTATTGTTATTTACCCGCCCGCGTTTATGTCACGGCAGTGGCCCCCGCGATTCATCTCGAGCCGTCTCCGTCGTCAGCATACTTGTGCAGCTACTCATAACCTAACCATTGTTTTTGGTTTTCGTACGCATTTTGAGGGCAGCATTTGAAATCGCAGGGAAAGAAAGGGTGGGCAAAAGAGGGCGACTTGTCTCATTTGTTAAGAAAACAGCCCTCAATCAAACGAGGCCTCGCGAATGTATATCCTCGTTGTCGACACACTGCGTTTACGGCAATAGATAATGCAAGGAAGCTACACATGCGCATCAAGTGTACAAGTCCACCGTGTGAAATTGAGGGTTTTGAAAATTCCGTACAAGGTACTGATAATTTACAGCCCTTGGGTTAATCCACTGCTGGACGAAGCCTTCCCTTTGCCATGCCAATCAGGGAAGTTGCGTGGCCAGTAAGTCGAGGAGAGTTAATTTGTGTAAGCTGATGAGAACTCGCAGAGACCGGGATGAGTGTGACAAAGAGAAAACAAATAAAGTACAGCGTTGAAGCGAAAAGAAATCAGGGCAAACACAACCCTATCACATGAGAAATCTAGAACATTGCACAAACATAGATAAATGTCAAATAATAAATTCCCCGTTACGTAAACGTATTACACAAGTGCGGGTCGGTGAAGGGCGGGGGTGGGACCGGGACCCCTTTTCAGATATCGCTCGCCACCAACGTTAGCCCCTGTGCCGGGAATCTAACTCGGGATGTCCCCGGGTTCGTGGCGTGGTGTGCTCACGACCCTGCTGCGCAACCGTTCCACCCCGTTTGCCGAAGGGAAACCGAGCTCGCTGGCGGTGGCAGCGAGCCCTGGCAGGGAACAGCTGAGGCCCCGAGCACAGTGGCGATAAATCTAAGCTTTATAAAAAAAAAAGATTCTTTAAAGTGGGTAAACAGTCCCTGGTTACGTTTTGTTTAAACAGAGAAACCTTTGGCAATTGTGCAAACAGAACACGAGGCAGATAGGGACAGCAGTGGTAAAAGCCCCCCCCCCCCCCCCCACTTGGTTCCAGCAGGTGCAAGCACGTGGTTGCCGCCACAGAGGCGGACGCTGCCGACCGAGAGCCATGTTTACGCGTCCCTCTGAGCAGTGGCAGGCAGGGCCTCATTTTGATATTTGAGCGCAGGGTCGCTTTGACCCGTGCTAGAATATTTCTACACCCGGCACACCACATCCACCGCACCCTCTCTCGCTGCGGCCGGGGTTACTCCTCGTCACGTGCCGTCAACTCCCATTCTACGGCGTGGTCCGGATGTATTATGACTCCCGTTTAATTTTCTTGAAACGTCATGTTTTTTGTAAAGCAATGGGGTGCGGTCATGAATAAGCAGAAGAAAAAAAATGTTAAGTGATCAATTCGTTGGCGGTCACAAGACATCTGGATCACACGGTATCCAGCGACGCTGACAATGTTGCAGTGCCCAGAACACCACATCCTGTTGTACCTCTATGGCTGTGGCTACTGCTTGTCACGTGCCTACACCAAGTCTACAGAGCGACCCTGGCGATATGTATCTGCACCCAGCATACCACATCAAGTATGGCTCTCTGTATGCCTCTAGCAGCCTGGAAAGTGAGAAACGAAGCCCCGAGTAGAGATACAATGCTTTTCAAATAGCTTGTGACCCTCATGGTTGTATTGTTTTCATGAAGGTCTCTGTATGAATCTTACTGCAATCATTGAGTGAACAGAGCCTTAACCATGTCAGGTGTTTTTTTTCTTCCTCGCTCTTTATCGGCTCACTTAACTGCTTGTCATGTTCAGATGTTAACGTTGATGGTCACTCACTCAAGGGAATGCCCAGTAGCCCATGAAGAGTGAACCTAAGACCACCCAGTGACCAGGGCACAATGCAGGTCAGCGGCACAAGCATTCGCCACAAAGGGCTTACAGAACGGCCAACTACACAGCATTAACAGCGAGCGCGGAAATAAACGACCATCAGCGAAATAGACGTGAGCAATATATAACGCGCAGCTGCAAATGACAAATTCCTGTCAAAGTATCCGCGTTTATTTTCCTCGATCTCTTGGCGATTTTACAGAGATGGCATATCAGCAGCATTTCTTTTCCTTTCTGCTGAACCTCTGCTGGAAATACTTGTATTTTTGGCAGCCCAATCAGGGTATGCCACCGAACACAAAAACGGCCTTCTCTCTACAGAGGCCTCCACATAAAAAATATACAAAGCACAGGAAGAATACAAGAGGCAGCGAGAGCGGCCATCTGCCCAACACACCTGTTTTACATAAACCGACTCGTGCACTGCAGTGACGCCGAGACAAGGAACCGCGTTGAATGGAAGCATCACACCGCTAATTGAAAGGAGTCAGTGCCGAGTAATAAAATAAATAAATACATGAATAACCAGAGCTCTTTATTCGGCAATAGCCTCCCTTCGGTTGCGTTAATGGCAAACGGGCGAGAGAATGTGCAGTGTGGTTATCCTTTATTTGATTATTGTTATTATTATCATCACGTGCCCATTTCATTCTTTTCAAATTCATATTTGTTTGCCAGCTTTATTTGGCTTCGTTTGTTACCGGGTTTTTTTATTTTTAATATTTTTTAGAATTCATAAATGACTTTGTCATTGTGGATTACACAAGATTACCGGACATTTTTGGCATTGCCTATTTGGCAATGGCTATTTTTGGACATATTCATCGGGCTAATCCTCTCCGGTAAAGCCACGACTCGCAATGGCTCAAACGCAATGTTTTCTGTCTCTGCCAGCTGCTCAAATCCTTGCGGTCACAAAGGAGCAGTTTGGTTAAATTCATCGCTTCAGCACCACAGCATTCTATTGCAGCTCAGAGCCGAGCTCATGATATCAACTGCTGTGTAACGGCAGGCCATAATATATTGGATACTCTACACGATAGAATGCACTCAACAACACACATGGTACAATTTCAATCATTATTTATTTCGATTAATTTTAACTAAATCTTTGTTTATAAATACATTAAATTTTTCATGGTGCACGTTTATTGTGCGTGAAGAGTTACATACAGTAACACACATTAGATATGTAAGTAGAATTTCAAAGAAGGACTTTGCATTCTTAAATAGTGCTATGAAGAAGGGCCATTGCTCAAAATTACACACACGTAACTATTCCTTCCATGGCAGCAGTGTTATTGACCAATTGCGTCGAGAAAGTTGTTTTGTGTCCCGTGCACCACTGCCAGTGTAGCCTCACCAAATGATTTGTTTAATAATGGCAACGATCGAGCCCGGGGTGCGTGCGCACGCGCACACAAAGCAGGGCCGATGGGAAAAGAGGAAGGGGACAATGAAAACCGGCTTCTTCCCTTCCAACATGTTTATTGCATTTTTCATTGCCTGAATGCGACAAGTTCTGTTTTGGAATTTGCCATTTTAATTTGAAAGGGGGCTCCCTCTGGGCCTTTTCGTTGCACTTGTTTGCTGGGTAATTTACAGTCATTAGTATCTGATCATGGCCTATACACGATTTACACAATGGAGTGGGCATGTGAAGCCAAACAAATTATTATCCCCAAGGGCGTCATCGGCCGATCAAAAGCACCCCCCCCCCCTGCACAAAGCGAGCCCTTGCATCCCACGTATTCACGGCCTTATCTGTACCCTGGGAGCCCACTCAGACATTAGATTTGTTAACGGTGGGAACGTGGAGGGCTTCGTGCCTGCGCTTCTATGGAGAAGTCAAAGGATATGCTCTGTTCCCATGATTAAACTCAACAAAGCGTGCTTACCGCTAATGCTTATCTGCATCGTACAGAGCAAACGGCGCGCTTGATGCAAAATAGACTACTTTGTGAATGCTGAAAAAAGGGCCAGGTTGATGAAATATGTTTCCTCTTCATTTCCTCCTATTCATTGTGTTAGCACTCCCACAATCCTCACCACCTCACCCCCACCGCCCTTCTCCGTATGTGTGAATAGAATAGCTGAAGAAATGTATCATAAGTGGCGTGAAAGCTGTATATTGTAAACCACCTTCTGTTTTCAGCGATCTTTTTTTTTAAACCAAATCTAGCTTTACACTGCTCTAAATGGGAAGGCAACTCGGAGAGACCTTGTATGTATATACATATACAATTATAAATTGACTGTGTGCCTTGATTCACCGCTTATACACCACATTCATGTAATATATTTCCCTGTCGATAACCAGAAATAAGTATTAGTCCATCTTGGCAGCCATAAGAAAACCTATATATATAAAACGACAATAATATAGACAATTATAATAGGCGATTCTCCGACTGTAAAAAAAACAATGATTGTGAATCCAAACGATCTTAAACATTAAAACAATACACATGCCGAATTAATATGAGAGTTCAAATGCTTTATATACCCACACAAACACACACAGTTACCCAAGGCGGATGTTGGCACACACAACTCCACCATCGCAATCGTATAGAATTGCACCTCGACCCATGAGTTCAATGCTGAGTGTTTGGAGTTTGTACTTGTTAGCAAGGCATGTTGCTAAAACCTTTGAAATTAAACAAACGTGTATTAGGAAACCCTTAACTAGTTTAGTAAAATATTGGCCACTTTGTTTTAACAAATGCCATTTGGACATAATCGAAATATTAAAAAGGTACAAAGGCAAAGGTGCAGCCCCCGCAACTGCATGTTCACATCGCAGCTGGCAGAAAGAACCTCCACTAGAGGGAGCTGTAGAGAGTCCCTCCAGAGGGCGTGTGGCCGACTCTTCCACGCTGGGCATTCATCTTGACAAAGATTGGAGTGCCCACACTTTACCTCACCACCGACGACCCACTGATCGTCAAACCGCAGTGCCACCCATCGACAAACTGCGGTGCCACCCATTGACAAACCGCGGTGCCACCGATCGACAAACTGCGGTGACACCCATCGACAAACTGCGGTGACACCCATCGTCAAACCGCAGTGCCACCGATTTCTACTGCTGGGTGACCAGAGGCGGTGGGGAGATTTCAGAAATATGCACCATTGTTTCAAGTGCCTCACCGGGAGCCTGAACCCGCGACCTGTTTCACAAATCTAGTGCGCTATTCGTCGCTGCACCACGGCAGCACCCCAGCTACAAATAACACGAAGAGAATTCAGGTTTCCCTCACTTTACGCGGTAGCAAGTACAGTACACGCACCATGTTGTTCCACGTCCGACCGCATAGCCGCATGCGAGTGAATTCAAGCCGCACAAATATCGCGACTTTGTTGGTAGAAATAGGTTAGCCGCAACATCCACGAACTCGCACAACCCAAACCCGCACACAGCGAGGGGAAGCCGGTGCCGTCTGGCCAAATAGTAGCGAGCGCCGAAACTTTACCGCGCACGCACTTTGCGCGCGAGCACAAACGTCGAAGGGCACCCTTCCGTCGCACTCCTCGCGGAGCGAGAGGCAACATCTCGTTAACGGTCGGACATGTCTCCGCGCATGGATTTTGCTTCACGAGGACACTCCAGCACGTGATTAACACAAAGTCATCCGAGGCTATCCTCTGATGAGAGGGACGGCAGCAATAACGCGGCGGACGAGCGACACCGTCTGCGCGCGAGCACGTGTAACGATCGCAAGCGTTCGTAAACAGTCGGCGTGTGGAATTTCCACTTCATCAATCTAACAAATTAATAAATAACACACGCTTGCCCGGTATTCCTTTCGCCTCTACACATCTAAGAGTAAATACGAGTCAAAGACCAATGGTGCATCTACTGCCGGAAATGAGGGGCAATGAGAAAACCAGCGGTCAGAAAAACTGCACTACAGCCTAGGTTCCCGGAGGTTTGATTCCCGGCCATGTATATCAGCGGCGGGAGGCATCTGAACTTGGTCTGGGCCCCGCTGTCGATTCATGGAACATTAAATTACCACAAGGTGCTGTGTGCCTGTAAACGTCAATACTGCGGAGACAGAGGCAGCTGGGCATGGTGCTGACCACGAGACATGCATTGCTTTCTCCTCATCACGACTGAATGAAATGTCACAATCCGGGGTCACGACTGTAGCGCCCCTAGTGGCTGCACGGGTCAGGCGAGTCGATCACGTGGAAACACGTGAGCACGATTCGATGCACTTCAAGAGCGTACCGTGAGCATAAGAATTGATTTAACACGATAAATAGAAATATCATCGCAATGCTCCTGCCTACGCTGAAACCTCAGTGATCGTGTTAACCTTACTAAGTATTCACTAACCAGCTATATGGGTAATAATACCCAAACAAATGCGGTGGAAAAAAACTGTGCTAAAGTGTAGTTTGAGAATAATGTATGGCAGGAATGCTTTAAATTGGGGGAAAAATGTAGACGTGGCCGGGTGGGTCGTATGTATGTTGCACTTCTTTCGCAACGTATGTAGCCAACTGTGCTAACAGGAGGTGCGGCTGACTGTGATTACACAGGGTTCTAAAGTGTAGAGAGCTGGTCTCGGCCCAGTCACCAATGACCGCACACAAAAATAAATCACAGAATTTGATTCCACGCTGAATTTAGCTAAATTCCTGCTCTGAGAATGAAAAATATCAGGATGACTTCATTTGACACGTATTGCTCTGCTTCCCCCTCCTGTGTGAACCAGAGGTTTCAGAGGCAGCCCTGTGATAGCCACTTTCATTGGGCCGTTTACTCGCACAATACGACGCGATACACTCCACCGCTCTGCAAGATATCCCAGTGGATCCTGAGTCACATGGCGTGACACCGATATCACAATCGGGATAAGCTTGGGGGAAGAGACAACATTTATCAAGTGCATACCAAGAAAGGGGGTTGATACAAGGTGAGACGCACAAGTCACTCACCACCATCACCACCACTCAATATTAACACCGCGTCTCCAAAGTGGTACACGCCTCGAGGTGCCATGGGGAAGGGGCACCCCCCCCCCCACCCGCCACCCTCCGATGGCAGCCGTCCCAGTGAGGCACGTGGTGAGCACGGCAGCAGACAACTCACCTGGTCGGAGCTGAGCAGTGCGGAGTGGATGACGCCATAAAAGTGGACCAGAAAGTCGGTGCTAGGGTTCAGCTCCTGCCGCCGCATCATGATCTTACAGATCAGTCTGTAGGCGTGCAGCTTGCCCTGCTTGTACTGATCGGGCAGCGTCGTGGCCTGATAAAAATACAAAAAACAAGAGCACCGTTTTGCAGTTTTTTTTTCTTTCGCGCCGTACGTAGCCGTCCATGCTAATCGGAGGTACGGCGGAAGGACAACTAGCGAAACACAAAAAGCAGTGCTGAAGAATTGGGTTTTCAATCTCGAAGAAACGAGTTTACAATCTAGATGATGAGGTGACTCTGTGTCCCCCGGGTACTCACTGACATCACTAGGAAATGAAATTGGAATTAACGCCGCCGCTCGCCCTGCTCGATTGTCATTACAGAATTGGCGTCCCAACTGCCCCTATGGTTTAGGGGACTGATGATGATGATGATGACGATGATGACGATGACCACAGGGCCGAGACATTCTGTGCTAGATTGACCAGCACCGTTACAAAACAATTGTTGCTTTGTGTTACGAGAACAAATGCAAAACGTATTAATCATAATCACTCAGTGCTTTAAAATATAATGCGACATTTAGCGATTAAAATGAGTGGTCAAAATGGCTATATGAACACATTATTGGCCGCAATAAGTGTTTCGAGTGGACTGAATGTCAAGCATGCACTGTATATTCTAAGTGTCTGTTGACTCTAACACAATTATATTACGTGCCACTTTGACATATAATGCGATTGCGAACAAAGCGAAACTCGCTTCTTAACATTTAGAACCTTCAACATTATCTCAAAACCTTGGCGGTGCCACAGGTAGCCAACAAAACATTTCAAAGGGCACATTGAACCAGCATTATAGAACATTCACTCACACACGCGCGCACACGCATTGGCATGGATACAAGGTGTGATGTTCCTCGCCTAAAGGTGGACTGTACTGAATAGGCAACATCGAAACTGAATAGGCAATATCTAAATTGCACCATGTACCGTTCACACGTATTTTACATCAGAAAGGTAACCTTAGACCATAAACACACGCGCGCACACACGCATGGCAGCTGTGACACACTATCAGGTCCCATCTCTGAAGAACAAGGCTCTGGCATACAATTACATAGGGAAGGTACACACTGGGGGTCTGTCAAAAAAAAAATTGTCTTTCCAGCCTGGAAATCGCTGCCATTTAGGCCGAGTAATTAGATTGTGTGTGTGTGTGTGTGCTGGCTGCTGCCTGCGTCCGTAGCCCCCCATATTGGCTTACAGCAGCTGGCTTCTGAGTCACAGCGAGGGCCTGCTGGGCTTGCCAGCACCAGCTACCGCGTTTATCGAATCTTAATTAGCGTTAGTTGGAAAGGCTGCAGCTGCGCAGGCCGCGCTGACCTTTTACCCCCCCCCCCTCCGCCATGTAAATAAAAAGAAAACAAATGACTGCCCTAAAAAGGTAAAGAAGGGTTAAAGGTGCAGCCCTGCAATTCGGCGCTCACGCCACTGCTGCCGGAAGGGGCCTCCGCTAGGTGGGAGTGTCTCTGGAGTTGCCCCCACCAAGAAGGCGTCTTTGGCGCTACTCCGATTGGCGCGGTTGGCTAGGTACGATGCGAAAAAAGTTCAACATAAGTACGAGCTGGCCATGCGTTTTGGAAGAGGTGGGCGTACCCACTCGTTCTACCCTACCACACGTTGCATGCCGATCGACTGACCGCAGGGTAACTATTTATACCGCTCGCTTGGCAGAGGTGGTGTGGGGGGGGGGCGATTTCAGAAATGTGTGCCCATTGTTTAAACCAAATGCAAAACACATTATAGCCTATTTAAACGAAACAAAAACTGGATAACATTTTATTTACTTCTGATTTCCTTGCATGCGGAATTTCTAGACCAAAAAAAAAATACACGGTGCTAATTTCACACACCAACAAAGAACACAGGCACGAGGCACATTTATAGCAATTACCTTGGCTCACTTGTGCTAATTCAATACGCAGGTCTCAACAAGCGTAAACATGGCCTTCTTGTACACAAACGCCACCACCAGGGATTCTATGGGAAATGGAAATCTATTGCTTGTAAATTAATATATCCCCTCAAGGTAGCTACCGGTGACGAGTCCTATAAACAATCTTTATCGAGTCACCCAATTGCACGCAGGCTCGTGTCCGCGTCGCCTGGCGTCAGAATGTCCCACTCGGCGGCACCACGTGACGACTGCCGTGCGGGCAAGAGACACGCACGCCGGAGCTCTCTATACCTTGAAGAGCCACGGGGTGAGGATCGTTAGAGGAGGGATCAGATCCGGAGGTTCTGGCGTACACTGGTTGTCCAGGCTTATCCCCAGATTGTCACGTATCTGCGCGAAAAAAACATTTTACACGCACAACTTATTCACCATCGTCGTCATCGTTATTCATACGTAAGCATTTCCACGCGCCACTTGTGGCCTAGAAAGACAATTTTTCCCAGCTCGGCATGAAGATTTAGGAATGGGTTCTATGTTGTATCTTATATCGATTCATGTAGCCCCTTATTGCAAAGCTTTTAACAACAATTATAAAATTGCAGATAAGATGATATCGATTGAGATAAAGAGTGAGTTTCGATTTAAAGCTTTCGTGACTGCAGGGATTCATATTCTTGGATCTTTTGGTAAAGTCACGTAGAAGGGAAGTAATAAAATAAAATCATGTCCCGAGACGAGCAGTATCAACTCCGCCGGGTTAGAGAATGGCCCGCGGAAGTGGGTATCACAGAGCTACCACCTGCGAGTGCCTCTAAAGCTGACGTCTGGTCCACACAATAGCGAGCCAAACTTTCCCACCCACTCGGCCCCGCAGGAGAGCGAGGTTTGTCGCGTGACATTCAATCCACTAATTTAATTCTCAGAGCTGGAATTTCGATGAATTAAGTGCAGGGACCGAATTGATTTTGTTGTTGTGTGCAATCAATGGTGACGAGGGCTGTAACCATCAATTCGCTTCACTTGAGAATTCTCAAGTGTAGACAATTGATGATCTCAGCCTGGCAATCAATGACTTGCCCGTGAAAATCACCGCACCAAAGTTGGTTGTGCACTTTGCTCAACATCGCAAAGTACCCAGCCGCCTCTAGTGACTGCAGGCGACGATCACGTGAACCGATCATGCACAGCATACGCCAACAGAAGAAAATCGTCGAAGCTTCCGCGCAATTCGATGGGTGTGTCGCGAGCGCGGCGATCGTTCGTAATCGAGAAGAGCCGACGCGTCGCTACGTGCCTTGGCCAGCGAGTCCCAGAGCTCGCACAGGTAGTCGAGCACCTGGGCGTGGATATCGGGGTCGGGAATGGCGTTGATGTCTCCCAGGGCGCCCAGCATGCGCCGCCACAGCACGGTGGCGACGTCAGCATGCCAGCCCGTCATGGTGCCTCCCGCGATGACGCTGCAGTCTTCCAGCTCGCTGTCGTCTGCCGCGCGCGAGCGAGTCAAGACAGACGCACAGGTACAGGGAAAATGTGTTGTTAACCCACCATGACCACCCGACACAGACAATTAGTAAGGTTAGTCACGTAAGCAAAACGTGCCAATTAGTTGCTACTTCAAGCACACCGGTGCGTTGGAGACTAAACTCACAACATTAACAACTGAGTATGATATTTCGCTGGTGATTACAACCAGCTTCATCGGGCGATTTGCCAGAATTTGCCGCAATTGAATAATATTGGTCACGAAAGTCTACATGTTAAACTAAAAATAAACTACTTTTCATCTAACCAGGTAAGTCCCACTGAGCTATAGGAGACAGCTCTTTTTCAGAAGCAACTTGGCCACAAATAATGGCTCAATTGAGCGGCTTACCGCGTGGAAATTAATTGCAGCCAAATGCTCTCAAGGTGTTGCGCCGGGTGCTCTTCGGCACGACGTCCGACGTTTCGCTCAAACCGTTTCGCACGGCGTTCTTCGGCTCGTGGAAGCGGCCTTCCCGGCACGCGGATGTGCGGTGAAAAAAACCGTCGGACATCGGGGACTGAGTGCCGGCGTCGCTCTCGCGCGTGTGCGACGCACGCCTACCCAGTTCTCCGTTGAGCTGCAGGACGGAATTGTGGAGCCCCTCGTCCAGAGCAGGGGGAGAGTCCTTGGATTCGCAGGGCTCCGTGTCGGGGGAGGGCGACGGTGTGTGCGACCGTGAGCACGAGCCCGAGTTAGTCAGCGACGTGCTCTCAGAGCCTGCGAGAGACAAACCACGTCACATCTATGGGGACATTCTTTTGCCAGTGTCCAAAATTATGAAAAATAGGAATAGGCTTTACCCTTTCTGGCAATAAAGATGTTCAAACACCAAATGGAGACCTTTTGCAAGGCATCAAGTCTGGATTAACCACAGGTACTTGTGGCAAATAATGCAAGCAAACATGCTCTGATAATGTATGAAATGTCTTTGAAACTGATTGGACTACACCAGAGACCGCCTGCTTTATGGCCTTGAGATGAGTTTCAAAGACAGCGCAAATATTAAAAGAGCATGTTGGTTTGCATTTTCTTCATGCCTTGCAAAAGGTATCTATTTGGCGTTTGAACATCTTATAACCTGTTTTATTGGCAGAAAGGGTAAAACCGCATCACATTAGGAAAGTCCGTCCTCAAAAGTCAAGTTGGAGCCTACAGTCGCCTTGCTTGTGCCCACTGTCAGGGGTGGTCGGGCCTCCTCCACTCGAGCGAGCTTTCGAGAGTCGCCCCCCACCCCGTCCCCACAGGAGTTTGGCCTACTCTTCCACGCTAGACAGGCATTTTGGAAGGTGTGGGACGTACTGACACTCTTTACCTAACCGGGTAAAAGCCACGGAGCAACATCGACCCTCACTGTAAAACTACGGAAGACGGTAATCGTCTCTGAAACGTAGCGCCTTCTTGGCAGCCTTGCGCTAGAAGAATGGCGTGGACACCACATGTACATGTGGACACCACATGTACATGTGGTGTCCACGCCATTCTTCTAGCGCAAGTCGAAGAATCAATGCATCGGTCCTCCCCTAGGTTTTTCAGAGATACCAGGTTGGAGTGCCCAACGATGATGATGATGATGATTGGGGCCGGCATACCCGTGAAGGCCACAGCCTCAGCTGGGTTCTGCTGGCCCAGGCTGCTCGTTTCTGAGTCGATGTTCATGGTGTTCAGGCTGGCTCTGTCCTCCTCCAGGCCATCCCCAGCACAGGACACTTCAAGGGGAGAGCCATCACCTGCAAAGCTGTAATCTGGATCACGGGGAGAAAATAAACAAAGACATCAAATTGGCACCAAAAATACTGGATACATATCAATCAATCGACCTTCTGTTATATCTACAGTGTGATTCACGTCATTAAAAGTTGTGTCATAGTGAGAAACCCATAAATGACCAAGAGACCCACAGACTCTAAAGACCCAGGGACTCAAAAATAGATACCTGTGGACTTCAGTGGAAAGCGATGTAACAGTACCACGCAATGAATATTGTCTGCATAGTCACATGCTGTATTTAGTTTTGCTGCCTAGATTACATATTCAACTCTTCTTTTTCATAGGTGCTACGCAGTAAGAGTTGAACGTGTCTATAATACGTTAACTGCTGTGACAGATGCAAGTAGGTTATCACCACAATGGTGCTCCTGTTGCATTCAGGAAAAATAAAACGAATCAACCTTCATCTCTTGAGAAAGTGTCAGAGAGTCATGTTGACTTTGATCATCATCATCATCAGCAGCAGCAGCAGCAATGGCCCAATCCACTACTGGATGAAGGTCTCCCCAATCCTCCACCATCTCTCATGACCTTGCGATGTAATAATAATCATCATCCATCGAGTACCTACACACAAGCTGATTCCATCACGCGCGCTCCGTTCCTCGGCTGCGACTCTCTCCTTATTCTTGACCATCCGCTGTCGCGACACGTCCTGCCCAAGCCCACTTCCTCTTCTCACGAGTTTCTAAATTCCATCATTAGCCTGCCTACGTTCCACAATAGATGTGTCCGCGTGCACTCTCTTCTGTCTGCAGGTGCGATACGGAGCACGCATCTTTGCATGCCTCTTTGGGCACTCCTCAGAATTTATGTTTCTGTCCCACCATTGTCAATGCCATATTTCTGAACGATGTGCGTCCTTTCATGTCATATATAGTTCAGTAATATAATTATTTTCCCACGCTGTTATGTTACATGCCAGTAACATTACGTACGGTGCGAAAGAAGTTCAACATTCATACATTACGTGAGTTAAAAGAAGGCTGGCTCAGCAGTGATTTATATTCAACAACGTACAGTTAAGCGCAACCACGGTTCACCTTCTGTCGCTTATAATTATAAATCGTAGTTATATTGCAACCCAATACCAGCTGTACAATAACACGTGTGTGCGTCAAATAACACGTGGGAAACATCAAATAAATCGTACAATCTCACTACCGTGACGAAGTACACAAAGTATTAAAGAGTGAAATTAAATCGGGTTAATTTGGAATAAAGATCCCATTCGCATAGCCACATAATCCTTATCCCACAAGGGGGAACATACTTAACATTTACCGACGATGTATGTACGTTAATGGGAGGTGCGATCACATGCAACCACCCCGAATCCTCGGACGCGGAAGAACACACAATGGCTGGCAGAGGGAAACGAAGGAGTTTTTTAGTCTGGGCTTTAAACAAAGAGAGGAGGGGGAGCGGGGGGTGGGGGGTGAACAGCACCCCTATACAAAACGCGGTCGAGGTGTAAAGCACCTTTCGTAGGGAACTGGATGAGGTGGTCAGGAGGTAGCGTCTCGGAGACGGCGTGTTCTCCCTCTTCGAAGAACGAGTGGCGGTCGTACGGTGGCGGGTAGCCCGCCGCCCTCAACGCTGCCCCTTCCACGTGCCCGTCCCCCATCTCCCCAGCAGCGGCGGCACCGGCAGCAGCAGCAGCGGGCGATCGCGAGGGGCTGGCTTCACTCGGCTTCCCCTGCGTGCGCACGAGCCGACGGATGAGTTGAGGACACGCGTCGTACGTGTATCTCGCTCGCCAACGACGTAAGCTGCGGCTGAGAATTGAACTCGGGTGGCCGAGTTCACACGGCAATGCGAAACCCACTGTGCCACAGTTCCCCCCCACTCACATATGTATTTGGAAGGAATTCGGCAAAACTCTTGACAGACGATTCCTGAGACTCATCAAGGCTCTCCCGGGTAAACGCCTTGTTCAGTGGATTTTGGGTGGCCATCGAACAAGGACGGTCACGGCATCGCGCGCTTTCGGACGTGCTTCCGGAGCCGTCTGGAACGCTCTTCCTTCTGATATTAGGAAGCCACTGGAGCTGTGCACTTTGAAATCTAGAGTGAAAACTAATTTCTTTAGAACTGCTTTTTTTTTAAGTTTGCTGTCCTTCCCTCGCACCTCCGATTAGCACAGTCGGAAACATATGGTGCGAAGAGAATTGATCATGCACAGAGACATACAACGCGGCAAGTAGTAAATGTTGCGAGGGGAAACGATGGGGTGCCGCAAATTGGCGATCGTACTATTATTATTTAAAACATTACACAGAGTTACCGAGCACAGGCCCAAACGCGCCAAGACGTCAAACGGACAGCATCAAACAGATAGAGCATTGACGTGTTTCTCAAACTGGGACACGTGGCCATAAAAGCTGAGGGGGGTGGGGGCAATCGATGGGAGGGAATTTGAGAGTGGAGAATTGCCGGGTGGTGGTGGTGCACGTGGCCTATAATCCCGCACTCTGTGGAGGCAGCGAGGGTCGGTGGATCACACACACACACACAGGATGTTCTTAAACTCCCTTGCCGTGGGCGTCGAGGTAGAATATCCTGGCCACCAGGAAATGGCAATACAGCAAAGCATGGACTCATATAATCATCTTCTGTATGGGATAGAGTGTATCCCCCCCCCCCCCCTAGCATGCTTGTGTTTCCACAGACTCTCTGGTTTCCTCTACAATTTATTGGCAATTTTTTTTACATATAGAGAAACGCAGAGCTTGGAAAATTGTTATGGGCGGCTCATTGCTTGGCTACCTTTCAGCTTGTCTTTGGTTCCCCAGCGATTGTGAGATGCAATTTGCATGCACAACGCTATAGATATATAGAAATACTAAACGTGATTATGCTTATGATTGCAGTGTGATGGTTGAACGGCATGGTGAGAGAAAATGATCAGTCTGCTCGACCGAGTCCTCAACATGGGTGGAGGAACCAAGGAGTAAGGTTCACAGGAAGAGTGAGATGTCATCGCTGTCATAGTTCACGTCATAGTTTAATACAATTTTACTGCAACTGCAAGTATGTCCTTTATCAGCAGGATAGATTTTAAAGTGGCAATGCTTAAATATGTATGGCTCGATTTGCGTTGAGCGGACCTGCAGTTTCGACGAACTTTTAAACAATCTTTACGGGTACTGAAAGTACGACAAAGCGCACACACGATAATGTGGCCAGTTCTAAAATCTCTCACCACTGACATTCACCATGGCTGGGAATCGAATTTAGAATGCCAGGTGGCGGGAGGGGGGGTGGCGAGAGGTGGGGGTGGCGGTCGCACAGCGCAGTGCGGGGAAAAACTCGCCGCACCCACCAGTTTTGGCGAAACATCCTAGCATTTGGTGGGGGGGGGGGGGGTGTGGTGAATATTTAAAATGGTAATGAACCCCCTTCAGGATGAGAACATTCTGCTCCTCCGTTGGCTCACCTCGTGGTGGCAGTCCAAGAGGCTCTTTGTCTCCGACTCGCGGGCCCTGCCCGCCTCCCGTCCGCTGGGGCTCTCGGCACTCCGTGAGCGCGAATGAGAATGCTTCTCCTCCTGCTGGGCTGGGAACAGCATCGCACACCGCTCAGCATCGCACGCCTCTCCCCGCAGCCACAGCGGAGCTTCTCGGCATTGCGCGGCCGCTGCCCGTGGCTCGGGAGAGCGTGCGCCGGTGTGACCCGTTCAATTATTAAAAGCTCGGCTTAAGCTCAGCTGTTACCCCCATTGTTTTGCATTTTAAGGATTTAGAATGCCCCATTGTTCCACTTTTCATCTTGCGGCGGCGGTGCTATATTGGGACCTAGAAAGAGCGCAGGCAGCATGCCAGGAAAACTGCTTGCGTCACAGATAATCGGCAAGAGGGCAAAATGTGCAGCCACTTCCCCTGCCCCACCCCACCTTATGTGTCGATGGGAATAAAAAAAAGTATGTTCAGTGGTAGAACAAGCAACAGATAAAATGTAATTTTATTGACGATGATTATTGTACCGTGCAAAGTAATGCAATCTAAAGTTATTGTACTCTCAAACTCTCGTTCCAAAATCAAGAACCGTTGTGAATGTAGAGGAAACGCACACGTGTTATATATCCACACACTCGTTGATTTAAGTGTCCAACATCGCCAAACAAAGCTGTGCACGTTAGGCCTGAACACTTGCACTGCAGGCATGTGATGAATGGAATAGAAGACGTTATTTTGTATAGATCAAATGGCATGTGATGTAGTTTTCTCAGTGAAAACCAACCACTGAGGCAGACCAGATTTTTTTGCGAGATTAATTGTGAGTAATTGTCCAAAAACATGGCATTGTCCTGAGAACAATGTGACACAATGACTATAATGTAAAATTTCCATCAGACAGTTGAGTTTGGAAATGAATCATAAAAAATAAAAAAAACATCCCCGAGGGACCTGTGGCACCATGAAAACTGTCTCGGTGACAAATCAGGGTGACCACTTTGATTACGAGCCCATATCCTAATCCTTAAAGGCAACGATTTCCCATTTCTTTAATAGACTGCTGGGGAAAGTGCTGTTAGTGTCCACCCATTCAAGCTGCCCCAGTGCACCAGAAGGTGGCATGGTCAGCACCACGCCAGCCCGCATTAACCTTGCCAGGAGGCTCAGGATCGGTTAAGATAATCGTCACTGGTAGTGACCGTGAGTGGGAATTGAACCCGGGTCACTGGGTTCGTAGTGGAGCACTAGCCGCTGCACTACCGCTCACCACACGCACACACAACAACAAACGTTGTTCACCACTATGTGGTGGTAACGTCACCACGGCACTTGTGCCATGCTAGGTGCACTCTGAGGCCACGTCAAGTGTCGAAGGCCCCGCTGACAGGAGGTTACGGGACGTAACCAGGTGCCATGGGTTGACTGACTGGCATGACCGGCAGATGCACAGACTGGCGTGGCCCCCGGATACCTGTGCTGTGCGCCTGCGTGGCGATGTTGATGGCGCTGCTGCTGCGGACGAGCGAGTTCTCCTGCACGGTGCCCAGCTGCCCGGCGAGGCGGTCCTCGCCCTGCGAGTGGTGGCGTGCGCGCGTGCCGGTTCCGGGAGACTCCATCTCCGGCACGTCTGCAGGGGGAAACCGATCCATGACAGCCGGGATGAATGACTTCATTGGGAGGAAAACAAAACAAAAACACGGCAACTTCCATCCCCTACTGGCAAACCGAAGCCCATTTTGCAGGACTGTGCCGCGTACACCTTTTTCTGCACGGAGACAGCTGCCGCTGGGGGTGCACACCTTGCCGAGACTGAAGCAAGGCATTGAAACTGTTGAGATGATCGTGACGGAGGGCGTTTTGAGTTGCTGAGACAATTAAAGCAGCATCATAAACCTGCAAATCTTTACTCACACTGTACCGTGTACACGTATGGGCCTCCTTATGCAGCGCGAGTCGTGGGGGTTCATTTGACTAAACTTCACCACGCTGGTTAGTGTGGGTTGGAAAAAGAGAGCAGGTATGGGGGAGCATAGAAGCGCAGCACAACATTTTGTTTGTTGCACCACCCTCTGCTGAGAGCAACGTAGCCCCGTAGCCTGATTTACCCTTGAATGCAAGGTTGTTGCTCGTCCATGCAACTATACAGGCTGCTTGTCTCCCGGGATCTGACGAGATCTGGTGCATTCTGGGTGATAAGCTCATAGGCTCCTATACATTATCCAGCCACGATTAACCCAGCTGCTTAAACAATGCAGATGTGTTTTAATTGCGAGTTCCATGTATTGATGCACCCATTTCGGTCAGAGGGGTGTGGATGATATTACATTACAAAGTAGAGTTTTTTTTTATACATAAAACAAATGTGACCATGGTGCCAATAAAACAGGGGTTAAGATGTTCAAACACCGAATAGACACCTATTACAAGGGTTTCTTTTTGAAAATGGCAAAAAGGGGTCCCATAGATATAACCGTGGTGCCCTCTGCTGGGTAAATATATCACACAAAATCAGTGAATGCATTATTATAGCGGTGGAAGGATGCATCGATTAATTGATTAATGTGAATTCTTAATCTCACAATATATGCATCTAATTGTGTGTGTGTAATAATCGGTGTTTTCAACCCCTACATGTTGTACGTAATGAGTCACGTAACCCCTGCAGCCACAAGAGGCACCACCATTCAGTGGTGGCGGCAACAGACTGTAGAACCTTAGCAGAATTCGTTTTTAAGTGCGTCACATGACCATGAACATTGGATGCTAAATAACATAGCCTTGGTGTGAAATAAAAAGTAAAAATTACAATAGTTGTAATATTGTTACTTGGGAAAGATGAGCTTTTTTTATTATCACAAGGATATGAATTTGAGCCTATTGTATATTTGTTGTACCCCTATTTTTTTTCATAAATCCACGGCCCCCATGAGCTGTTCAGGGCCCGATACTTTTGCTAAGTTTTCTAAGGTATCGTGCCACCACTACTACCATTCATTGCATTGTTTACAATCATAACCGATTCTTGAATTAAATTGCAGCGCTAAACCTTGGCAATTTATTGAATCACCAGTGGTAGCGGAATGTTGACATTTTTCATCCGCTAAATGAATATATATGCGTGTGTGTATATATAGGTCGACTCGGCCTCAAATCAGTATCTGGTGCAATGTGTAAACATCGCCACTAGGGAGACAAAAGCGGCCCGGGCGTGGTGCTAGCCACCCACCCCCTCGTGTGCCGTGCCGGCCTTTATAGGGGCTCGCTAACAGCACTTGCCTCAACAGTCTGATAAGGCTACACGGGGGAAATCTTTGTCTTCGTATGAAACTTAACTCAACTATTTTTTATTTTACCAGGTAAGGCCGACTGAGCTATTTAGCTCTTTTTCAAAAGCGACCTGGCCACAAATGATAGCTCAACGAAGAGTGGCTTATCGTCACGTTGAAATTTATAGCAGCAGCCAAATATCTTCTTGGTTCTTTCGGTAAAGTCACATAGAATGGAAATAATAAAATAATACAAATAAAACATAATAAAATAAAAAGACAGTCTGTCTCCTCGACAGACCTGTTCTCCACCTGAGGACGGCTGCTTGCGTTGTGGCCGAAACGTCGTGATAATTATTTTATGATGTTTTATTTTTATTATTTTATTATTTCCATCAAATACTCTAAAAGCACGTTAATACATGAGGGGCAAAAAATAACTGGAGGGCCCGGAGCAAAAATATACGGCACAAACACCAGGGTACGAAGAAGGTTTGCGTATGGAAGGAAAACAAAGGGAGGATTTGAAAGTCGGAACAAGTGGGGTACCTCGGAGGCTTCCGCAGAAGGGGTTTCGGAAGAAGTCAGGGAAGAAAGGGGTGAAAGTGAAGAAGAGAACAGGAGCGCTCTTAACGCTGCGGATGCCGTGTGAAGGTGGCACGCCGTTTCCAAGGCCGGGGAGGCGGCTGGGCAGGCCTCCAGGACAGCACAACAGCAGCAGCAGCACATCAATGCAGAGGTGGGGAAGGGGTCGGGGGGGGGAGGAGCGGAAGGAAGGAAGGCAGCACATCTCAGGAAAGCACACCGCTAAAAATAAAGGCGAGGTTTTGTGCTCGGCGATGCGTGGGAACAATGATGCCACTTAATATCATGATTATGAAGTATGAAAATTCACTCTGATAACTGTAAAGAACACCTTCTAATTTACTTCATGGCACTGTTAGACTTTATAAAGTTTGTTAAGCCTTCTTTTGCTATTTTATTCCAATTGTGCTTTTGACTGAAGGTTACGCAAGTCATCCACGTTGCCCACAGAGAGAGAGAGAGGGCCCTTAAGTTTGCAAGCGAATACCGGACGCTGCCTCTAGCGGCGCTCACCCGTGGTTTTGGGGTGGTAGCCGCCGCTCATCTTGCCTGGCCCGCCAGGAGACGCTCCGCTGGTGGTCACGCTTCGCCGGCGAGCGAACCCAGCCGGGAACTGATCGCGGCTCCAACTCCGGGAGAAGGAGCGGTCGACCGTCGCCTTCTTGGCCTCGGGGCCAGCACCTGCCATGACGCGCACCCACAGGGCAGCAGTGGCGCCAGCGGCGGTTAGCACGGCTGGCTACAATACGGTGCGGAATAAGTTCGACGTACATATATATAGAAAGACTTAACAACAACAACAAACCCGACGCCGATAAAATGCAATGCAAGTCCTCGCTTAACGCATTTTCACACAACGGGTTTGTCGCGATAATGCGGTTCTTCTACTAGGTTACACTTTTTGGCACACCCAGAAATGAACTCCAAAACGTGGTTTCTCAGCAGTCGAAGGTGAACGACCGCAGGCTGATTTTGTAGTGCATTTACGATCACGTCAAACGAGATACAGCAAACAAAATTGCAACCCAATTCTTTTTGCCGCTCGCTTGTTCTAAAAACGTGTTTACCAAGGGATATTAAATTGATTTATTGGAAGCATAGGTGCTATACACGTACAATGTAAAGCAGGGATAGCAATTAATGGATTCTGCATGTGCATCTCGTATCCCTCATTGCTCATAATAGCCACAACATGACCATTTATTGTTATATGTAGTAGTGCAATCAAGCTATAATTTCTTAACGTTCATAAAACAAAAATAAAGATATTTCTGACGTTTCAAATAAAATCCATTTCCTTGAAGTTGCATGATTTCAATACAACATATTTAAATTGATGTTACAAACAACTTCGTAGAAGCCAATGGACATATACTACATGCATAGGTAGAATATCAAATAATTGAAAGCAAATTTTTTCTCACCTATGCCAAGCCTGTCATGGAGATTTGTCAGACCATACTTCACCCTTTCGGTGAGTGCAGGTTGACGGGAAGGCCAAGATCAGTTCAGCTATCACTCGCAGCACTGATGTTAGCCACGTCCAGGGAATTAAACTCGAGTCATCGGGTTCACAACGCAGCGCATTAAAAACACACACGCCACTGCTCCATCGGCACTGCGTGTATATACGCAAATTCCTGACTATATTTTCCATCACACCTGGAGTGGCGCGCACGAGCACAAATAACAAAAACTCAATGTGTTCGTCAACAACGACGCTGCCCGTTTCAGGCAAGAGCCTTTTTCTTGAGAGCAGAGAGATTCTGTGAAAAAAGGGCCACTGCCCGAATCGTCATCATTCACATAAATCTGTCCTCTTCCAGGCATTGTCACGGACCAACGTGTTAGGTTGATCGTAACTTGATTTCCGGGTCAATTCACTGCCCTCCCTGGGTCTCCCCCCCAAATACCCTCCCCCCCTCCCCCCCGGAACAGCACCTCGTCCCCGATGCTTCTTCAGCTTCTGCTCGCTGAGTTTGTCCAGCGGGAGGTCGGCGAGATCGAGGCCGTAGACCTGGCGAGCCAGCACCTTGGTCAGCGTCTCCATGGTCTTTGCCCACTCGGCCACAAGCTCGGGCCAGCGCGTGAGGCCCGAGAGGGCTTCCAGCAGCCGGTCCCACAGCTCCCGCGAGACTTGCACGCTTAAGCTCGCTTTGATCCACGCCACGATCAGCGTCTGCCCCAAAAAACACACGTCGGGCGAAAGCGATTGACACCACAGTGGGGTCCTTTCTGTCCTTGAAGTTACGCATTGGCATCATTGTGCAGACAGCTGTGCGAGTTACTTTGTACTTAATTAATTCCGCAATTTGCAGAATTGTGTTAATCCACAACTGTACGAAGGCCTCCCCCCCGCCGCGTGCCGTGTCAGTGAAGGCTGTTGTTTTGGCCATACTTCACCGCAATGGTCAGTGGGAGTGGGTGAAGGTTATTTTTTTACTTGCATATAATTAATTCAATGTTCGTGAAAAACATATGAACGCACGCTACTGCATTTACAAGCCTGAACACACAAACGTGTATGTGAATTAATAAAAGACACTTGGTGTGTATGACGATACGCTTAGATTCCGGCTCGGCGATATCAACCACTTAAAAATAATCCGATGACGTTATTACGTGCCTTTTACGCATGCTTCAGTGCATTCAAGGTCAGAGCATCTGCGGTGGGAGCTAACGCCTTGTAAAGGGACTTGGGAAGGGCTACATCGTCCATACCTGAAAAACTGGGCCAGCCAGCCGCCCGGCTAGGGTGCGCTGTCGCAATCCTTGCGGAGGAATGGACTGAAAAATGCTCTCCGTGATCCTCAGCAGAACCTGTAAAAGCTGTTCCCTGATATATAAACACAGAGGGAACGGCAATATTTAAGGGCCCACTTAAGAGGCTTAAAGGCTCCCGAACGTTGACATGAGATGCAAAGGTAAAAACATTGGTAGCAAAAAATCAGCCCACTGCTATTAAATGCCTTTACTTATACGAGCGAGAACCACGATTTTATTATCAAGATAAGTAACCTCCTATATATATAAAAAAGGGAAATTTGTGAGTATGTGTGTCTGTTCGAAATGTTTAGCATACTTCCCGACATGCAACAAACTTCAAATTTGGCATGTGGGTAGTTTCCAGACTGTACACAATGCAAAAAGTATAAAAATAAACTTTTGCATTTTGGGGGAGGGGGGAGCACAATAATGGATATATTTTGCACAGCAAGTGAGCAGTGACGTCACATCTGTGACGTCACCACTCGCATGCGGCAGCGTCACGCATCCTCCCCGCCCTCCGCGTAGGCCGTGTATTAATCCAAGACAAGAATCCAAGTCTCGGGCGAAGCCGGGTAGTAAAGCTAGTAATACATAAATAATAGTCACGTGATATTACGTTTGGCATATTTTGCACATTTGAGCAAATTTGTACGATTACTAAGCTGTCATCTCATTGAAAAGTAAAGTTAACAAGCAAAGCTTCACGTATAATTTTAATAACCTATTGCAGCAGTACTCTTTGATCAATAAATCCAAAAATACACCTAATTAATGTATGCGCTATGAAGGAGCTGGCATTGCATCACCAATTAAACATTTGTAATTTTAAGGCAATGTTACAAACGTATGCGTTGAGTTTTTTCACATTATTATTTTCGCTTGTGCACCACCGGCACCGCAGCAGCAACGTATGAAAGAGATGAGCGGCAGACAAACGCGACGCGGCCAACAACCGATCAATCGTTGACCAATCGCGCCCAGGTCACTCACCAGGTCCTCTTCTCCATGGAGACGTACATCACCATGTGGCGGTAGATATTGAGGACCCTCTTGCACAAGTCCACCTGCTCGCTCATCAGCCTGGAGATCTCACAGGATGGCTCCAACAGGAACACGTTGACCGAGTGTGTCAGGAAAACCTGAAGCCGGGGAGAAATGCGAGCGTTCGCCCACCGTCGCGTAGGAATCTCGTTGGCATCGTTGCCCTCACTTCCGTGGAACTTATCCTGACGATGTTCGATGTAGCGTCGAATGAAAAGTCGAATTCCAATTGCTATATTTGGTTGCGGGAAATGTTCCGTGATCTACTGGCGAACTAAAACAATAATCACCGGCGCGTCGGTCAACGCATGCACGCCGCGTGGCCCTTCAATTTGTTTGGCCGCGTCAGGTGGCGGAGGGTTATTAACGACGCAAATTTGGTAGGATTATTAGGTGTCCTGACCCAAAAATCTATGATGAATTGTAATATCGGATGCGGAAATAACTACGTGTTGTGTCGGTCACATTAATGCGTAGGGTCACAATCCTTCAAATGGTTACATCTTTGTAAACGTGAGCTTCAGACAAAATATGTGTATGACTCTGCAGCCGAAGTGTGGCACCTCTTTTGCCATCTATATTCCAACTCTAGGTTCATCAAAGGTTCTATATATATCTATCTATCACGTCGTGGTAATTGACAAAGTTGAGGTACTTCCACACCTTCAAAGATTTTTGGCCAGCATGGAAGAGTAGGCCAAATACTCTGTCAAGAGGCTCTCTCTAGAGCTCCATCTAGTGTAAACCCTCCCTCTAACAGTGGCATGAGCAAGCAATTGCAGGGCTGCACCTTTACCTTTAAACCCAAGACACGTGCAAACCAGGGACCGACTGGTCCTGGCCACAACGTAGATGCGGCCTAGCTCGTGTGAAAGGCCGATCGACCTAGCCGACAGCCTCACCTGCAGAGTGGGCTGCATGCCGGCGTGTACGCTGCCGCCCTCCTCAAGCCGGTTGATGGCGTTCTGGTACGAGTTCGTTCGAGTCCAGCTCGGGGTGCGCTCGTGCCCCATTGCCCGCGGCTGCTTCGCCTGCCGACAGGGCCGCACGCGCCGTATCCGGTCAACGTTCGCGCAAAGCGGGCGGCACACACCACGCGACAATTTAAGACGCCCGTTTCCTTATTTTGTGTATAACTCGAGAAGCGATAGCGGTACGAGGAAGAGCAATACACACACGACGAAAAGATATTGTTGCGCGATGAAAAATACAAGTTGCATTTCTGAATGCGTAACCTGACCTGGAGAGTGAGAAAATACATGTAATAGAGTAGATTTGTTGATTATGATTGCTTGTTACGTATATATATATATACGTATATATGTTCAACTTATTTCGCACCGTACGTAACCAACCGTGCTAATTGGAGGTGCGGGGGAAGGACAACAAACTAAACATTAAAATTTGCTCCGTAGAAATTAGTTTTCAATATAGATTTTAAAGTTCACAGCTCCAGTGGCTTCAAAATTATCGAAAGTTAGAGCGTTCCGGACGGCCGCGGAAGCGCATCTGAAAGTGTGCCGCGGCGCGGCGACCATCTTTCGAGGTCCAACCAAACGCGACACGAGAGGGGCACTGCGTCGCCGACCTGCTGTTCCTCCCGTTCCGCCGCCTTGTTGCCGCCGCACGGCGATCGCTCCACCTCCCCGGCCACGCCGGCCGCACCGGCCGCACCGGCCGCTGCCTCCGCATCCTCCTTGGGCTGCGCGGAGACCGCCGGCTCACGCATGAACGCCGGCTTCTCCTGGGATTGGATCCACTCCTGGTACACCTTGACCACGCGGCGTGTGGCTGCGGCCTCGGTGAAGGGCAGCAGGAAGGCCTACGGCGGGGTGACGCGCGTGGCGGTGAGCGGCGCGGTGAGCGTGATGATGAGTAAATCGGTCGATCGATCGACTAAAGACTTTAAACACATTTTTTTTTCGCGTGATTTATTCGTCGGGTATCAGCCGCACTCCCCCCCCCCCCCCCCCACTGCCAAACCTCCCGAAGGCAAGAAACCTCCTACAGGTCATGCCCAGCGTGAAGCAGATGTCGATGCCAATGGTGTCACCAAGCTCCACCCATCACCTCCCGTCCAGCGACAGATACAGAAAAAAAAGACCAGACGTTTTTCTTCCCCAACTGGACTGGTGCTATCAGATTAGTCTTGCAATTCAACTGATAATTATCAATTCAACTGATAATTACAGATTATAATCGGTACTGTAATCGAATACGTAACTAATCCCATAGCCCAGCACAAGTGGCAAGTATACAGCTGATATTATATTATCAGTGTATAACATACCAGTGATAACAAACACCGTACTCACTGTAACTTTAGGTTTGTGCTTAACTGCTCCAAACTGGAGCAATTTGGGCGGCATAAATCATTGCCCCTTTGGGGTCTTAAACAATTCTGCGTAAATATTTTATACATTAACGCGCATTTAGTTTAAAATGTGCCGTGCAATATATAATTCATGTGGAGCAGCATATTACCACATTCATTATCATGTTATTATTATTTAGTGAGGCTAAGCTACCGCTGCAGAAAAGCACGCTCTTATCACATTCCCCTCCACGCTGCGCAGGCTGCGCTGTCGGGCGCTGGACAGCCACTGGGCACATTAAGCAACCACAGGTGAGATGCTATGGGCTACGACAGCTGGGCCGCTTGCAAAGTCCCGATCCTTCTGACGTTTTAATAATGGTGCGTATATATATACACACGACAAAAGTCTTCGCTGAATGCTCTCCAACGTACCTGGCGGAACACTTCACTGACGAAGTTGGCGTTCTCGCGCGACGAGCAGAGGACGCTACGTGCCACCTCCGAGTCGCTGAGGCTCTCGTCGGCGCCCGTGGCGCTGCTCAGGCTCGACACGCTGGGCGTGCGCTCCGTCAGCGTGCTCGTGTTCGAGTTGCCGGGCTCTGCTTCGCCCGCGCTGTCCGTCTCCACCTTGCCTGCGATGCCGGCACCGGCCCCCGTCACGCCGCTCACGCCGGCGGAGCTCTCTCCGCCGACTCGCCCGGCCAGGCCAGCCGCTACCCTCTGTCGCAAGGGAAGGTACGAGAGCGGAGATTTTTCTCTCCCCTCCGACGCAACACCTCTGCAGTGTCCTCACTGCATATCGTACGTGCGGCATGGGGGCGCCGCGGCGGCGAGATGTTAACTGCCTCGCCTGGTATGCAGGAGGTCGTGGGTTCGATCCCGACCCTGACGACCTGTTGTATATTTCGAGTTTGCATGCCCGCCCCGTGGTTGGAGTGGAATTTTTCTACGGGTGATGTGAGTAAGAAATTTCAGGGTTGCACCTTTACCTTCATATATCGTTTTGGGATTTCTATATCCTCCAAATGTTCTTACGCAAAACCAGGCGGGTGTGACACGTACAAGATCCCGTTCCATCACCATGCCAGCTTGTGAGTGAACGAATTCTGTTCACCCACCTTGTGGAGTCCAAATGCGAATAAAGCACGCAAAGTGTTTCATTTATTCGATTTGCTTCTTCTGCATGAGAACTATAAAACGACCGGCGGTGATGTGCTCTACAAAGCAATGCAAGCAATAAACGTGCATGGGTGCGGGACTAAATTAAAAGCACCCCATTGTGCAACAGACTCATCCACTGCCTAACGGCACTCACGGAGCTCATCAATATTTACACGCATTTCATAGTCCGCTGTAAAACATACAAAATAAACACGGATTGATTTGAGAGGTTAATAGACTCATCTATAGCTCTATCGATTGCGAGCCCTGCTACCCATGCATGTGCTGCCCTTGATTAAGACATTAATTCCAATGACAGACTAATGTGAAACCTTCGCATCAACAAGTGAAGTGTCGTGTTGGCAGCAGCCGCAAATGACAAACTGCGATTGTCTGTAAAACCGCTGTCAATTTTATCACGCAAATAAATTCCAATGTTTCGAATTACACCCAGACAAGAGTTAATCAAGACGTGCAGTATGCCTTCAAATGCAACTTAAATATCCAATGCTTTAACGAGTGTCGAATAAAACTCACGCGGACTCATTTAACATTCATACGATGATCATCATTGTGACGATTATGACGGTTTTAACCCTCGACAAATAAAAACAAACATCCGCTTCGCTCTACGCGCTTCTCACACCTGGATGATTTTTGGCACGGACTCGCCCTCGGCCTCCGGCACGGTGGGACACAGCAGCGACGGCTTCACCTCCAGCCAGAAGTTGACGAGCCACTTGATAAGAACCACGCGGGCGGACAGCAAGGGCTCACGCGTGCTGTAGCTCGGCTCGTTGAACTGCGCGTCACGGCCCACCTGCACGTACTGCGGCTTCGCCCGCAGCAGCGGCACCTCTGCAGGGGGCAACGACGGAGCAAAGCAGGCGAGTGGGGCTACGCGGGAAGGCCACCCGTTTGCAAAGCCCGAGTCACAAGAGCACTCAGTGTAGCAACTCTCTGCCCTCGTGATTATGGAACATCCACCCACGTTTCATTGCAATGTCAGAGCCGTGCCCGGGAGTGGAACCCTCGCGGTACGGGTGGGTTTTTTCACAGGCTATCTGCTGGGCCGAGCCAGAACCAATCCGTGAAACTCTGACCGCATACTGAATCTGACTCCGGGTCAAACGGGGTCGGTCAGGGGCGGGGTTAATAATTTTGGTCGTTTGTGGTGTCAGAAGTACACACTCGACTCGACCCGTCCATTGCACGCGACATAGGCGGCAGAGGTCAGGTTCTCCAGTAGAAAAAGCTATTGTTTTCTTTTCAACTACCAAACTATATTTTTTATTTTACCAGTTAAGGCCCACTGAGCTATATAGCTGTTTTTCAGAAGCGAATTGGCCACAAACGATAGCTCCATGAAGTGGCTTATCATCACGGAAACATTCATAGCAGCAGGCAATTAGTCTAAAAGCATGTTGGTTCTAAATATGGAGGGAAAAAAACCCAGAGGACCCGGAATCCACGCTACCACGGGGAGAACATGCAAAAACCAGATATACAGGCGTCAGGATCGGGATTGAACCCACGACCTCTTGTATACCAGGCGAGGAAGTTAACATCTCCACCACCGTTTTAATTATGGGTTACAAAGCACATCTGGTATATCGTTACACATGCAACTGTAATGTAGGAAAAAAAAACCGTCATACAAATGATTCACTCCTGGTCTCTTGTGGCTGAGAAAAATCTGTATACAACAATGTAAGCTCATGTCTGGGAGTGTAGAAATGAGGGTAACTCCACTCCCCAAAGATTATCTACCCAGCCCCAGAAGGTATGGCTCACACCCCTTATGCTAAATACCAAACTCTGTACTTTAGGCGCCACACCCACAGATTAAGTGCCCCTTTTTATAGCTCAGGCAGCTAATGGTGGTGAGCATCCTTCGCTAAATTTGGCCAAAGGTGATGACGTAAAAACATTCTTAAAAGAAAGTAGTCAGGCCACCCTCTATGAGGCTGAGCAAGCTTTGCTGGCTGGCAGGAGGGTGGGACGAACAGTCACTTCCACAGCATATTTGGGTGGCTGGTTGAAATTAAAATCTGTTTTCCTTACGTAATTGTTTGTGATTTTCAGTCAAAAAAAAACGTACGTGCGCATGAAACACATACTATACACAAGTACCATACCTAGGTTGGGACTATACAAGCTGGTCTCCTTGCAGAAGGAGGGGAAGATGAAAGGGAGGTAGTACTTCTTGAAGATATTGAGAAGGAAGGCAAACCCCTTCTCATGGTTTTCCTTGTTCTTCCACTCCAAGCCTCTGGCCTGTACAAACGACGATCGAAAATAACAACAAACATTAACCCTTTCCGACTCGGATGACCGTACGTTCTAATGACGTACACGTTCAGATGACGTGTACGTCATCGGAAGAAAAGCTGACATGCACGTTATAGGAACGTCCAACACAGAACGTTATTACCACAGCAAACAAAACACGTCAGTGAGAAAGTGGCCGGTTTGCGATCGAGACCAACGTTTGTTTTCACTCGAAACAGTTCTCTTTCAGTGGGGGAATGTTAGTTGCTGTTGTACAAGCTGCACACGCGCACAAGGCAGTTGCTCAAACGCCACTGGGCTGTGCCCTCACTTTTGTAAAAAAATCCTTGCTCTCTGGCCCATGGGGAAAGAGAGAGAGGAGGGCGGGATAGCACGTGATCGAAACGTCGCGATTTATTTTATTTTATTCCTATGTGACTTTACCGAAAGAACCAAAGAGTAAGGCAAGGTTTGTTAATTCACACACACACACCCCGGGACAGGGAGTAGAGGACGAAACAAAGACAAAGATCCCCTTTGCAGCCTTAAAAGACTGTTGGGGCGAGTGCTGTTAGTGAGCACCTATAAACGCCAGCACGGTACAAGAGGGGGTGGGGGGGCAGCACCACCACGCCCGACCACCTTTGTCTCCCCAATGGCGATGTTTACACACCGTACCAAGTACGTATTTGAGGCTGAGTCGACCTAGGGGAAGTCCAGAACCGGTTGAAATAATAGTCACTGGCGTTGACCGTGAACGGGAATCAAACTCGGGTCGCTGGGTTCAAAACGCAATGCGCTAACCGCTGCACCACTGCTCCCCACTCCTCTGGAGGACAAACACACGTGCACACACACGCACCCTGCTAACACTCGCCCTAAGGTTTATACAACATGGGCTTGCTGGCCACAGTCAAAACAATGTTTCAACACCTGTTTGACTATAAATAGAACTTAAACAAAGGGTACGTGTCCCAAATTGATCACACCCCACAGAAAAAAATGTCAGCGATACAATTCACGATGATGCTTAATGGGCAGTAACGCCAGGTAAAGCAGAGAACACCAGCGACCGATACTAAATCTGTGTACCTTCCAATTCTCAATGCTAAATTGTTCAAGTGGTATGAAAATTTACAACTCACTCTTCCACCTCCCCGCACTCTCCCCCACCTCTCCTCTCTCGTCTCACTCTACTCCCACCTCCTCGCACTTTCCCTTCTAGCAACAAAGGCATAAGGACGCTATAAAAATCCAAATTATATTGCATCGTAAATTCATTAAATGTTTAATTTTCATGTATATCAAAAAAAAAAACTCCATCCACAACAAGGGATCCCACCCACTGAGGTTTTGTTAGTGTGAGTTAGTAAACAAAAATACTCCACCTGGATTACCATGTATTTCAGCATCACTTCCAGCAGGTAACAGGTGAGGTCCTCCGGTATCTGCTCATTGGACTGCGGAGACACCAGAGGAGTGATCTCCTCTGCACACACCGGCCCTGAACAGCAGAGAAGTATGATGCCATGGGGTCAACGTCAACCTGTTACTGTTTTATAACTTCCCCCCCCCCCCGCCCCCATTGTGACTATTGCCGTTATTGTTTTATGAGTAGGCTTGTTTAGCCAGGAAAGCCTCGGGAGGGGCCTTGCTAAGTTTTCGCAGTCGGGGGGGGGGGGTGTTGCTGCTGCTGTTGTGTGATCTCATTTGAGTAATTTGCAGATAATTTGTCAGCATTAGGGTGTATGGCCAATGCCAGTGATATTGTATGGTTTGTTTGTTTTTTGACGATGGGGGGGAAGCTGAAGAACCCCGGAGGAAACTCGTGCACAATAGGTGGATAACATACCAACTTCGCATAGAGAGTTGCCTGAGTCAGGCATTGTACTCAGACCCTTCTTTGAGTGAGGCACTGGTGTTGCACCACTGAGACGCCCTGCCACTCTGCCACCCTACGGCTTGACAGTTAAGCTGTGCAGATTTAAACATGAAACACTCCCTAATTATTGTGGCAACAAATTAAGGAGAAATAAAATATTTATAGGCGAGGAGGCTCTCCTGAGCTTGTTACATTAAGTACAAGGAGAGCAAAATACGGAAATGTAACGATGGGCGCAAATTAATTTACTTCAACAAACATACATACAAGCATTGAACTCTGAAGAGGGATGTCGGAGCCTTAAAACGTACTAATACACCATTATATATTTTCGCAAAATGGCTTTTGGAAATTAGTTTATTATTATTTTTTCCACTCCTCAGTTGTTCGTTCAGCGAGCCACTGACACGTCGAGCATCGTGCCGTGTCTTGTACAGCGCTTTGAGATCTTTGATGAAAGGCGCTTCATGATATAAATAAGATTATTATTACAATTATCATCATCATTAAGCGGCAAAACAGATTCATTGGTGACAAAATAAAAGCAACGTGGAGGTGGGGGAGGGAAGGAGCAAAACAAATGCTCGTGGCCGCCCGCCCGTAGCCTCGCACAAAACCGCGACGACTGTACCCAGTGTCTTACAGTGCAGCGGCTACCTAGGAAAGCAGGCGAGAGCGGCCAGAGCAGGCTTGCGGAAAGAAGAGAAGCAGCACCTTCTGCCGTCGCCAGGCAGGGGTTGATGAGGCTGTCGAGCGAGCGGCCGCCCTGCTCGCCAGCGGGCAAGGGGAAGCCCGGAATGAGGCACGCGTACATGAGCAGCAGCTCGTCCGAGCAGTTGTGCTGCAGCGCCTGCATCCACAGCAGGAAGAGTCGAACGCCCTCTCGACGGAGCTGTTCGGCGGGGACACACACGCGCAGAGGGACAGCGGTCACCCTTGTCGCGCGATCGGTTTTCCCGCGCAGACCGTCGGGGCGAGCGGCGGCAACCGAGCGCCCAGTTGAGGTTCGGCGAGACGGCCGACGCGGTGTAACAAGTTGGCATGCTGCACTCGCGGGTCCAGCGATCGCCGGTTTGACCTCCCGGCCGGCGCGAAAGTTGACACGACGGGGAAGGTTCTCGCGGTAAGGGGGGCGATGTTGCAATGTACGATTCCCATTGAGTCATTTGCAAGTAATAATGCGAGTCATTTAACAGCATCGGGGATGTTGTTTTAGCTATGGGAAGAAACCAGAGTACACCCATGCAGTCCACGGGGAAAACATACAAATGCCACACAGAAAGGTGCACGCATCGGGAATCGAACCCAGGATATTTTTACTGAGAGACACAGGTGTCACCACTGCACTACTGCCTGCACAAAGGCAGATCAAGGTCAAAAAGAAATAAGAAAAGTACGAATGAGACGGAGAACTTTTAGACAGCTGAAATTGATCACGAAAAGCGGGCACGCCGATGTGCCCGAAGGAGAAAGAGAAACGTCAGCCGAGAGATACGACCCATGAGCACGATGAATGATAACTAACACGGAGGGGAAAAGCCTAACGGTGTACAAAGAGTGCGGCAAAACTCGGCCGATTGAACCTAAATCATATTCATGGCCGAGATATTGCGATTGAAATCTGACGACAACCAGCTGCTCGTGTCTGCCACCGCAACTGACCCCGGAAGCCAGAACCAGAGGCGCCGCGCATACCACACGCACATGTTGTCTTTGGGGCGTATCTTCAAAAACCCTAGCTTTCAGAAAGCGTGTGCCATGGTGCTCCATCTCGCATGGAATTTGAATAACAGTGGTCTCGCCACATGCATCTTCAGAACACTCGTCGGGTTCACTGTTATTGATTGTTGCAGAAGAATGCAATGAAAAATGGGCGAAAAGGAACGAGGCTGTAAATAATGGAAATAGCGCTCCTCGCTAAAGTGATCAGTTTTTTGGCACGAGTCTTACCGTTTGCTGGGGTTTATTGATACTGTGCTGCAGAGCTTACTAAAGTCAGGTCTTTGAGTATTTGTAGAATTGAATTAACTGTCATTCATAAATACACAGGGTTTAAAATGTATATCTCCTTTCCCCAAGACTACCAATCACAGAACTCACTCGAGTTTCTCAGTTTGCATGAACTACCAATGATGGTTCCACCCAGGCAAGCAAATAACACAAAGCCAAGAGTGGACATTTTCAAGAGTAAAAATACCATTCTAAAATCGGTCACCGCCGCGCGGGGGGGGGGGGGAAACGTAAGTCAAGAGATGTAATCCCCCAGTGATTCGTGAGCGGTTGTAAAATGTGTTTGCTAATTCAAATTCCAAAACTTTCTACGCGACTCGAGGAAGGGGTTTCTCTTTAAGTCAACGAAGCTGGGAATGGCGAGTTTTAAAATAAACAAGGGGTCGTCAAACTTGGCGTGAGACACGCTTTCACGCCGAGGGTCACGACGTTGGAATGGTCAATAAATGTTTGAATTGCCTTCGCCTCTGCAAAGCACACTCAGTGCTGCACCATCAACACGACAAAAATCACCGCACTCGGGGGCTGCAGTGGCTTGTCCATGCCGAACACAACTGCACCCAAAGCCAAAGGAGCATCTGTTATTGAAATATTGTGAAAGGGCCCCACGGTGGCGAGATATTAACTACCTCGCCTGGTATACAGGTCGTGGGTTCGACCCTGACCCCGACCCCTGCTGTATATTTGGAGTTTGCAAGTTCTCAACGTGGTCACGTGGATTTTTTTCCAGGTTCTCTGGCTTTTTCCCCCACATTGAGAAACACGCATTTCGAGTATTTGGCTCTGATAAATTTCCACTTTGTTGAGCTATCATTTGTGGCCAGGACACGTCTGAAAAAAGCGATATAGAGCTCAGTGGGCCTCACCTGATATAAAATAAGCATAGTTATAGTTCTAAATGTATAGTTGCGTAGCTGCAGCAGCATACACGCTACACGTATTTATCGGGGAGAAAACATAAACTCTCATTGCGGTTTGGCCTCACAAGTGCCAAATCACCTTAGAGCTTTAAACGGCGCTCTACTGAACAGAAAACTCTTCCGTGTGTATTCAAGTTTGGCGAAGTGCTGTAAAAACAGGCAAGAATGTCAAACAAAATACTAGCGTATGTCAAGACATTCCTGGGCTAACAGTGAAAACAAAAGTCCTGTTGATCTAACAATGCGCCATGACAGCCAAATAATAGGACATGAAGCAAATTGACTGCAGATAATTCTTCGGGGGGGGGGTAAGGGGGGTAATACATTTTTTTAAAAATATTGAAGCAAAATGATGACTTGTTCTAAGATCAAAACTCAAAACAATATTATTATTACACCCAGAAAACTAATTATGCCCAGCTGTTGATAGGCCACAAGTTGTTACTGCTAAGATTTGTGTGGTCTGGATAAATATATTATAATTATTACTGATTATTAAGCAGATTTTTTTTTATTCCAAACAAGTTTCATTTTTATTAAGATACTAGCTTTACTACCCGGCTTTGCCCGGGGCTTGGATTCACCACGACCGGGCTGCCTTTGTCTCCCCAGGGGCGATGTTGACACACCACACGACTTACTCGTTTGAGGCTGAGTCGACCTAGGACCGGTTCAAATAATCGTCACCGGCGGTGGCCGTGAGCGGGAATCGAACACGGGTGGCCGGGTTCGTAGCGCAGCGCGCTAACCACGACACAACAATGCGTTACGCTTCCACATGCGCGGGTCACGTGACAGATTTGACGTCACAGCTCACTTGCCGTGCAAAAAATATATGCATCACTGAACTACCCACCCCCCCCCCCCCCCAAAAAAGTGTATTTTTATAATTTTTGCATGGTGTACAGTCTGGAAAGTACCCACATGGCAAATTTCAAGTTTGTTGCATGTCGGGAAATACGCTAAACATTTTGAACAGACACACACAAGCACAACTTTGCCTTTTATATATTAAGATATATAGTTCAAAATATGTAACTGTAAAAACATTCCATTGCTTTCTACCAGAATTAAAGCCAAAGGAGCATCTGTTATTAATTTGTTCATCTCAGAAATCCGGAATATGGCAAAGTCACTTTGTCCTGACCACAAGCAGCCTCAAGGAGACATTACAAACGTTTCTTGAATATTCCTCCCTTGGTCCACAAAAAGCCTGAAAATAGAAACCTTCTAGAAGTATTCTTTCAATTAAAAAAAAGCGTGCAACAAAACAAGGAAGTTCCTGGGAAGAATAAACACAGACACAGAATGAAGAAGGCCACCGAGTCAGCTCAAGGCGATGTCATAGACAAGTGACCACAGCAAGAACGGTGACCGGTTGCAAAGCATCGGGCGAAGGAGGGAACCGCCGGAATGCGCGAGGCCAGCGGTGGCCAACCGGCATCTCCAAAGCTGCATGCGACTCTTTCATCCACCACATGCGGCTTCTATCGAAGGGGGCATAACCGTAGAACGTACTATTACGGCAGCAAAGACGCATGAATGCCTCCTGTGCTGTGCCGAAAACTGTCTATATATATATACACTTATACATATCCACCTGGCTCTTTACAGAACTCACGGGAACTTTTGGCTCTTGGTCCGTGACAGCTTGGCCACCCCTGTGCTAGGAGAAGAGGACTACCCATGATTTGAGTGGATGTCAAAACGTCAAACACCGGACCGGACGGAAGCTGTCGCCGTTGAAAGACGCAGCGGCGGGCAGAGACAGAAGTGGCGAGCCCACAGGAAAGAAATATCGGGTGAAGGAAACGGTCGCGCCCCCGATGGAGGAAAAGGATAAGTAATCTTGAAGAAGAAGCAGGCAAAGCCTTGCTCAAGACTTTTATTTTTTGCAGCCTCCTGAATTGGGACATTTGGATACTTCCTAGAGGATTTTTTTTTTTAGAAACCCTTAAGATGTGGGCATTGTTGAAGCAAGTGACATTACAGAGTGTGTACAAATACATTGAGTTTTTTGGGATACAGCAGATAACGATGCATATTCACTTTCCCAGTACGAGTGTTAACACACGTTGAGCCCAGGGTGTGAAATGGGCTGCTGCCTCAATGTGCTGGTGGCCACCACATCCATCAACAACCCACGGGTGGCCACAACTGAATTATTTTACCGCGTGCATGAAAAATAGCCTTCATATAATCCCGAGCGTGCGCTGTTACGTCTGAAACCACCAATATATTTTAAGGCGGTACGTTACTCTGATTAGTGCGCAGCGTTAATTTACTGCTGTGTTTCTTTGCACAAATCCCTGTCTTTTCTGCTGCTGGCTGACGGCCAACGACTACATGGGTGGGCCCTACAGGATAGCCAGTTTGATTGAGAATACTGTACACCAGAACGTGCACAACAGTCTTCATTGCCACAACCGGTTTAAGGAATTTAAACAAATCTCGGAGGGAGTGGTGGCGCAGTGGTCGGCGCAATGGGTTACGAAGCCGGCGACCTGAGCTTGATTCCCCTGCCGGGTTTAAAGTTTCTAGCGAGCGATATCCGAACCAGTCCTTGCGCCTTCCCCGCCTTCACCAATCTCCCACCGACCGGCGTGGTGAAGTATGGTCAAACGAACCGCACAACAGAAAAAAATATACGGAGGTCTCCATCCAACAGTGGACTGACAAAGGGCTACACATTATGATTGCATATTTATATTCAACTCTCCTCGTGAATAAACATTCAGGCCTGTTTAGGAACTGATGGATTACGACCACAAGGGTACAACATCTCCTGCGAGCCGACTTGGTTTATTGCACCAAAATAATGCATGTATACATGCACCCTTTGTTTAATCTCTACGTGCACTGGAGGGTTTCGCCTTCATGACAAAGAATGACACACAAATGGCATTGCTGTCAGCAAACGAGGCATCAGCCATGACACGACCTGGCCCTCCGTGACCCTGGACCGTTTTACTAAAAGGAAACAAACAATAGGCAGAATACGTGACATTGCATTCCTGGGTCGTCATTAAGCACTTTGGATTAGGTCAGCCGTAATGAAGAGGACAACGTGTCAAGAGTGGCATTATATACAAAAACAAACAATACCTTGGCCTCTGCCCGATAGTCTTCAATGGGTCCGATCTTTAAGGCAACTACCGATGCATGCTGAATATTTGAGCTGCGAGAATGAGCAAGTGGTTTGCTCTACATATCTGCTCGCAAAGTCGTCAGAGCTCGGGGAGAAGACTGTTGTGTGGCAATGCCGTATTGTTCCCAATGCTGGGTTTAAGTATGTATGTATGTTCGTTGAATTTCTTTCGTACCGTACGTAGCCAACCGTGCTAATCGGAGGTGCGGATGAGCGGTCCTTCGTAACTGGGCTTGAGATCATCATCATCATCGTCGTATTCTCCACATGCGAAAACTGTTGACCTAACGTCCTCGAATCTATGACCTGAGCAGTGATGTGTAACTGCTCTCACTCGGGCCAGGAGCATTGGGCAATTGTCCACTCTAAAATGTTCTATGAGAATGCTTAGAATATTTAATATAATGGGGTGGAGTGGTGGCATATAGTAGTTAAACGCTGCGATATGAACCCTTCTACCCGAGTTGCATCCCCAGCCAGTGCTAATATTAGCGGTGAGTGATATCTGAACCGGGCAGTACCCTTCAACACCCCACACTGACCAGCGTGAAGTATGTTCAAACAACCCCAAATCAGCAACATAAATAAAGAATATTTTTTTTATTTTACCTGGTAAGGCCCACTGAGCAATAAAGCTCTTTTTCCGAAGCGACCTGGCCACACACGATAGCTCACCGATGCGGCGTATCATGTGGGAAATGTATAGCAGTCAAATACTCCAAACGCGCGTTTCTAAATGCGGAGGGAAAAACCAGAGAAGGCCTCCCCATGCGGTGTCGGGCACGGGGAGGAGTTGTTTGACCTTACTTCATCACTCTGGTCAGTATGGGTTGGTCGGTGTTACCCGGACTCGTTTGGATATCGCTTGTCACTGTGAGCTGGGGCCGGATATTTTGTAAATTAAAAAGTAAAAAAAAAACAAATAGCAGCAGACACAAGCTACGACTCCAGCACTGGTACAATGTATAAGCAGTAACGGTCGAGGGAAATCCAAGCTTTGTATGATGAATGATTGCCGGAAACATCATACTTCAAAAATGAAATTGCAGCAGTGCTCCACACGTCCCCATCCACAGCGCACAGCTTGCTTATCTACCAAATCCTTTCTCAATCGTAACAAAAAAAACACACGGACTTTCCATTTATTATAATACCTGTAAAAAGCAATAACTTGTTCAAGGTGAGATTGGAAGCCTATCAGTGTACACGGTGCCATTTGAAATCAAATCATTCAAACTGCTCGACATGCATGCCTCTTCGCACTCGTGCTGCTATGTTGTAGAGTGTTCACTCATTCTCTCAGAAGCCCTTGAATCAGAATTGAAAAACTGTAAAATAAATTTGCAGCGTATGTACTGCCGCCGATTGGACATCAGTCGCAGGAATCACGTCGGGTATATTCAGAGAGGTCGCTGCATTCACCGTAGTCATTACACCTCTGCCCCAAGTCGAACTGAAGTTCTTTCGCGCCGCACAGAGCCAACCGTGCTAATCGGAGGTGCGGCGGAAGGACAACAAACTAAACACAATCAAAAAAAGTCACTACGCACGAGCTACCGTTCTCAGCCATTCTCGTCGGCCATGGGGGAGGGGGGTCTATCCACTGCTGGTCCTTGCGATGCAAAAACTGCATCGCAACTCTTGCGCATGAGTGGATTCCATCGCTCCATCTCCACGGCGGGAGACAGCTCAGGCGCATGGCCTCCCTTCTGCAATCGTTAGTCTCGACCACCAGCCATCATCGCTTCCCCCCGATGCCTCCTGCCCCCAAGCCTGCTCATTATTATTCAGTAGTAAATTACAACGAAACAACATATATGTTTAAAAATGTATTAAAATATTACGTATTTATTAAATAATTAGTGTTCTATAGATTTGTTCGAAAGAATATTTTTAGAAGTGGACATCATCATAAAAATATATATATTCTTAACTACGGAATACAATCCAGCCGAAGGAGACTACTTTTTTTGTTAAATCGAGTGTAGCGTTCGAGCTTTGATTTAACGTTCGTTGAACTTATGAAGCAAGATCACGGTATATCTACACCAACTGAGTGGAATGTGTCAAGGGAGTGAAAGGTTGGAATGTAGCCTTGAATTAAACCCAAATTCTTTCTCTAAATCGCTCTTCCCAGGCACAATACCCCACGGGTTAAGTAAAACATTAAACAGCACAATTGCCTTTGCATTGTTTGGAATTATTAGAAGCAAATATTTTCATTGACTTGAAAACAATGACAAGAAATATCCCTACAGGAACGGCCAGATATTGCGTCATTACAAAGTCGTGTTTGTTTAAAAAAAAATTGTATTGTGCTTTCCAACGAAGATTGAAAGCATTTATCGATTTATCTCTGTCCGTCTGTCTGTCCCTCCGTTTGACTTGTCCCTCTGTTTGCCTCGTCCGTAGCATGGGATCACGATAGTATTTGTAATAAGTATCCAATGTAAATTAAACCTTACTGTAAAAATGTAGCTGTCACATTAGGAACATATCCCATATAAAATTGGCCCAAATTGATCACTTGGTGACTCAAACCCAGAACAGAAAAGGACATTTTAAGAATATTCAAATGCTTTTTCTCCTGACAATTACTCCTTGTCAGTTTGATGACTGCTAAATACATATCCCAAAGAACAAACATGTTGGAAAGTGTTACAGAATCCATTCGTAAGTATGATTTGTCCAACCTCGTTAATTTTATGAAAATGAGTTGCCAATCAAAATTAACATTGCCCAAGGCAATCGCCATTATAAAAGAGCTCTGATCTATTGGAGGGGTGTAGCAATGCATCAATTCGTCAAATCACATTCATTCTTAAGCTCAGGGTACATGCATCAAATCGCAAATGTAAGAAAGGACGTCTTTGATTCGTGGTATCATGTGCATGACGTCGGTTTGCGTGACCGCTATAGCCACCCGGGACCGCTAGTTTACAAAAATTATAATTGAAAAAAATTATTGTAACGTTGAACAAAAAGGGTGAGCGAATTTTTAACAACGTCCATGCATTACAATGAAACGATAGCCATGTCATCACTGCGATGCAAAGCATGCAGGGATTGCTGATGCTGTGCTGCTGTATGTATTGCAATACCTTGATGGAATTTCCGGTGTGCAGTAGCTTCTTTAAGATTAACCCTGTCGGCAAAAGGAGAGAAATTACACAAAATGGGAAGCAGGAGAAAATTTTAATAGAAATAAAAACTGTTAAATGTACACATCCGGAACGATTAAAATATTTCTTAAAACACCACTTATCATTTGTGCTTAAACCACAACGTATTTTGTCAATTTGAAATCTGTACTCGATAACTCAGCAAGTGACATAGTAACAATACATGGCTGTGAAATTGTCCAATTGTGAGCACTTTCTCACATGCACACAATTGACGGTCGCAAGATCTAACACTTTCCTTTTTTGTCGTTGTTGGTCATATTGTTCAGATAACACATTGCTGTGCTGTTAGACGTTATGAATATTTGAACGCGATGTGTATATCTAAATTAACCTTTCCAACCAAATCTGTAGCAATAGTGTGTGTGCTTGTGAAACTACCGAGTAGTTTTTCATTGTAGTGGTATTTATTGTTTGATTATCCATTGTCAATGCTTGTTTACCCAGCGAAGCCTCAATGAGTCTCAGGAAGACCTTGCCAAATCTTTGCAGTAGGGGGCAATGTTGCTGTGTGTGCGATCCCATTTGAATCATTTGCAGGTGACTTTGTCAGCATTTGGATGTTTTGGCACCTACCAGTTACACCGTTTATGTTATTATTTTACCTATAGGAAAAAAAAACTGGAGAGAACGGAGGAAACCTATGCAGAGAATGTACGCACTCCACACAGAAAGGTGCCTCAGTTGGGAGTCGAACCCAGGGCCTTCTTGCTGCGAGGCCCCGGTGGTTACCAACTGTACACGCTATCACCGCGCCACCCTGCTGCTCGTGCTGGCTCTCCGATGCGATTGCTGGTCGCGCCGCTTGTCGCTTGGCATGACGTGACCACTCATCAGCAGTATTCAGTTCCCGAGGAAGGTCCCAGCCCACGAAGTGAAACGTCCAGACATCGCTGCAGTACCGCGCAGCGTGGTACGGCCCGAAAACGCATCAGAGAGCAACGCCGTGCTCGCGCGTCATCAAATCTGCACTGCTCTTCAGTTTCCCTTTTGACTAATTACTCCAAGCCGTTAGCAGCCGCTTAAACATTTTTAACCCTGCACCAGATCAAGGGCGCGGTAAGGTCAGCGTACAGAAATGTGTTTCCAGTTCGGACTCCGAGGAGGCGTTGCGACTCCGAGGAGGCGTTGCGACTCCGGCATTAAATCACATTAGCAGCTTTAAATCGGATTAAAACATACACACATATTCGGGATTCCTTGCGGGGCTTTGCAGACGTCCCGGTGAGATAAGGGATCAAAGGGTGAGTCGACACGACAACCCCCATAGCATTGGGTGAGGGTGGGGGAGGAGGAAGCTCGAGGGGTCTTAGCCACCCTGGCGAAATGCTTTGCCCCCCCCCCCCCTCCAATTATAAATGACTTTCATAAAAATGTCATAGACTTCTTTCTCAAATGCGCATTGGGGTGTTGCTCATCTCCCCGTTCACAGCCCTGAGGCAGTGGGGGAAATTCGACATTCCCATGGCGGCGCGAGTGCAGTATTCCACACGTTCGTAACGATCGCTCATTACACACACACACACCGGCTGATGGGATTTGCGAGCTCCAGATACCGAGTGGGGAAGGGGGGCTGGGCTAAAAAGCCAGAATTAGCCGAATTAATTTGCTGGCGTCACAACCGTTCCATCATATGCACAGGCGATGGGAGGCGAGAGCCCGAGCAGAACGCACAAGACAGACAAAAACAGAGCGCACCGTTACTCGCTCTATTTAGCGTCTATGATTTATTTTAAACCTTGCTTCACATTGGCTGTGTCGTGTCGTCCACGCCGGACAACCCCCCCTCCGCGCCCCCCGTTGCCATCCCCCCCACCCCACCCCACCCCTGAGTTTTTAAATGCCTCGCCTGCACCTTTAAACGCGTTCACGCCACCGCAAGAGTTGGTGCCCCGGAACGCCGTATATTTACCTATGCTGTGAAACTGCCATTTATTCTGGATTCTCTCGGGCAGGAGTTGCAGTATTTTCTGGAACGCAAAAGACATTCAATATCAGCTGTTGCCAAGACCACTTCTCCGTCCAATGAAACACACAGTGCAGACAGCTTTATATACACCATGTAGGCGCATATGGCGATAATTTAGGCGACAGTTGCACGCGCACACACACACCTCGGGCTATGCTCCTACAACACTTAATACTCGACGAAAACCACGGTGTCGATTTCGCCGTTGTGCCGTGTTGCTCGGTACAACGGGCGACGTTTCGCTCGCGGCACATGGAGCGAAACGTCGGACGTTGCCGCTCCACGCGCTGGCAGACTCTTCAAGAACTGAAACTTACCGGGCGCTTGGAGAGAAATGACGGAAATCGTACCAAACGACGCGTGGTACGATCTCAATCTTGATGAAAATTCAACTGAAAACAACAAATGCTGTGGTGTATGTTATATAAAAATGGCATTTTCTGGTGGGCCACAAAATAAAATTCACGTGTTGCTGGCGGGTGACGTGACATCAAATGTTATGACGCCACATGGCGTTGTGCCATCATCGCGTCTTTAGACGAGGGTACGAACCCGCACCTCTCGTTTACAGCTCTCTTGTTCATCTCACCACCTCAATCTCTCTAGGTCTCGGCGATTCGTACATCTTGGTGGGCCACAGCTCAGCAGGCCACTGCTAGAGCCTCCTTGGGCCCAAAGTGGCCCATGGGCCGCAAGTAAAAAAAAAACTGTTCAAGTAAGAGTTAAGTGTACGACGACTGCACATCAAAATAATCCAAAGCTAAGTCGCCAATTCTTTCGGTTGAGGTTTTCCAATTCTCCGTTCACCAAACTTTACATCAGAAGTCCGTTGGCATTTAACATCAATATATTTTCTTCCCCAACTACTCCACAGGACAGTTGGAGTTGCTTACAACTGCATCGGTCAATAAAACCAATATTCTCACGGTTCAATTTCGGCAACGTCACTCATGCAGCACGTTTTTAAATGAGTACATGGAGCGTAGCGGTCTCCTAGCAGGAACAACCGCAGAGGTTGCGATCGCCGTATTCATCAAACACTTTGAAGGCAGGCAACATGTACGGCTCTGATAACACACAGGAACTGTTCTAAGAAGATCAATTATTAACCTCCCCGCGGTTTAAAGGTGGGTTTGATGACACATACACACCTAACTGTACTGTGCTCATAAGAAGTGGGGATTGTTCGGGGTCTGGAACTGACAATACCGAAACCAACATCACTAGTCCATCTAAAAACGTTCTCATGTCCTCTCGCGACAGAACGACGTGATGACTTCAGTTTAACACGTGTAGGCTTTCGCGACCAATATTATTCATAATCAACGTTTTTGGGTTAGATCACGTTATTTATAAATGTGTCGTAACCCTCCACCGGGAGCAAGAGCAGAGCCTCACCATTCTGGCAAATTGCCCGATGATGCTGGATGCAATTACCAGCGAAACGTCGTACTCAAAAATTGTAAATGTTGTGGTTTCACGCTTCAACACACCGTTGGGCTAAAGTAGTGAACTATTTGTCTTTTGTCAACGTGACACTTTTTTGCTGATTGGCCGTGTCGGGTGGTGGAGGGTTACGACACATTTATAAATAACGCGCTCTAAACCAAAAACGTTGATTATGAGTAATGACTTCAAATATATTTGTCAGAATCAGAATATTTATTTATACTGGAGGAATCCGATGAGCAACAATGCTCCTTTACACGGATGTCTAAATATCAGTAAGTCCAAAATCGTGTGCTAACACGTGATACGGCCACAATCTACTCCCAAATACACACGAAACGTGATCTTAGAAAACACGACGATGCTTTGCCCTCTGGTCAATAGACATCTCAGTTTGTAGGTCCACATGTTTTTCCTTGCCAGCCACCAGTACTGATGACAGGGGAATCGGTGTAGGAATTATGATATTTCTAAAACGAGTGTTCATTTGTAATTTTTTGAGAAATTCCTCCATTGCCAGTGTTGTGAGATTGTGACAGCTTGGGGGAGCCTTCATCCAGCACGAGATCGATCAAGGCTAATGACGATAATTACACTGTGTAACAGAAAAAAAATGTTGTCCCTGGGTAGTAAGTGTTATTTCCTAATTGCTTATGCCTCAAAAGACCAGAAAATGGCTATGATTCCCCAACAAACTTTGCTTTTGTGAGCAAGACAGTGATACTTTGAAATTGACCTATTTTCAATGAGAAAATGTTTGCATTTGTGTCAAACGTTCACATAAAGTCCTGGTCACAAAAGCAACGTTTGTGGGGAATAATAGGCATTTTCGATACTTTTAAGGCATACGCAATTAAAAAATAACACTTAGTACCCAGGAACAAAAATTATGTTACATAGTGTTATCAATGTATATCAACTCCTGAGCGAGCTTGTTCTTATGAACGCATACTCATCAAGACTAGACTAACACATACTTCTGACGTATACCTTCATTAGACGTCACCGTGACCGGGAAGTTGACATTTAAGTAAAATGCATCACAATGTTGTAAACATGCCCTTCGTACTCGGTGATGTGATTTTTTTTAAATGCCTTGGAGAACGACTAGAACGATTGTGGTCTTGCCAATGACACGTGCACCCTTGCTGGTGTACCCCTCGTACACACGAAGCCTTTCATAGGACCGCCACAAAAACACACCGAGGCGGTCACCACGCACAAGAGTGGCGTACTTTGAACCGCGCACCACTTTTTAATGGATCGAAAACGGGGCAGAACGCAACCACGTCATGCTGGCTCAAACGAGACCCCCTTATTATTACTACGACTACGAAGAGACATCTAAAGTAAGAAAGCGGCGTCTCACCATTAATCCTCCTGTGACAGACCAAGGGCAAAGCCGCTAAAAGCTTCAACTTCCCCATACCCGGAGATCGTAGAGATTCCATGGTTTTTTGGAAATCACCACCACCACCGTTTCGGACGGCAAATAGGAAAACAAGACTCGATGATGATTTTGGTGATACGGCAATTGCGCCTGTTACTTCACCCTGACTGCCCTTTGTATCGCGAGGGGGGAGGTCTCGGTTGTTAGGGACTGCGCCTTTGACGCATTTACATAACGTGCATTTCAAGGTCACGCTCACAGAATCAGACCTATACTTAGCCACTTTGGATTTATTTCAGCAGCACATTTTGCTATTCAAAAGGGGTGCCCGCTGATTAATGAAGCAAACCGCTTGCAACGTTGCACAACGCCAGCTATTTATTATTTTGTGTCGGTGGGTGGGGGGGGTTACACGCCATTATGGTTTGTAAATTATATCCGTCAACATCAAAATTCTATGATTCACTACATTTTCGTTTTCCCTGACACAAAAGCAAACAAACAGGCTGCCTGCTTCTGCTGACATTTTATGGTTCATGTGCCAACAGTGACATTCTTTGATGAATTAGAGCTGGCATATGTTTGTGTGAGCTAATTTAATATAGCATCTTTCCCGGGTTATTCACGTAAGCTCTGTATCAACGAGGGAGCGTTCCCAAGGTCACATGACGTGGAAAAAGTCACACGGGGAGAAAAGGCAGAGGGGTCATTTGCTGGCGATGGCGGGCCGGCGGTGGCTACGTTTGTCTGTGATCTCCAGCACTGTGGAGGCGAGGGTTGGCGGACCGCACAAATGCCACGAAACCTCTCTCCAGCTAATGAGTATTTACAAGTGTAAATACTCATTAGCTGGCTAAAAATCACTGTAATATATACAGAGAAAACTGCAGAGCTTGGGCAATTGTTGTCACGGACTCACCGCGTGGTTGCCTTCTTCCAGCTTGTCTGTGGTTCCTCAGCGTCGAGATGTGAAATTTGCATAACCCAATGCGATATAAAACTAAACACATTCATGCGGAGGGAGCTGGTAGGAACGTTGGGTTGCTCGGTCAATTGCCAGGGTCAACGGCAGCGTGGTGTATTCCGCAAATATGGCCGACTGTGAGGGCGGGCACAAGCCGGCGTGAATAGGTTAAACGTTGAGTTTTATAAGGGCACCACGGGGTGACCAGCCCCTCCCCACCCTCCGCAGCCCCTCCCCACCCTCCCCTCTCCACCCAGCCCCACCCCTCCCAATTTTGGATGCACGACGGACGGACACAATAATCCCCTGTGGGCTGGTGTAACCAGGAGGTTGCTACCAGTAAAATGATTCCACTGTTACAAAATTGTTACAGAATTAATGTGACTTTGGCGAGACGCTGTCTTGATCCAAATTAATTTCTGGGGTTAGGCCACGACGTAGTTCAATGCCAAAATTCTTGTCTTTAACCCTCCAACACCCGACAAGATTTGCCAGGGTTTACAAAACATATTATTTGCACGTGCCCAAGAATTGATTAAATTCTGACTGATAAAGCTCCTTGCCGGCGGCTTAAGACTGTGCACGACTGAATCTGACATCAACGTACGACGGCGTTTGGCTTAAACTGCTTCATCTGGTTTTTTTAAAGTCCTTGAAAAGGATATATATATTTACCTATCACAAGGACGTGCACAGCCAGTTTTGTCAACGCACTGCTGGATAAGCGCCTCCTCACCCCATGCAGGTGAGTGTTGGGGGCTATTTTACAATACTTCAGCACGTTTGTCTGCGAAGGTCGATTTATGGCAGGGAGCATAACCGTTGGGAGCGTAGTACAGTACAACGATAGACATGGCAACGGTAGTGATAATGAGGGTAATACCAGTGAAGCTGGCACCACGATCGTGAAGACGATGATGATGACGATGGCAAAGGTGACACATAAAAGTGAATTAATCAATCTTCATACCTCCTTGAATATAATGTTTTAAGCCGATCCAACCTCGAGACTGGATCAATTGTCTGTGAAGCAATACAGTTTGCCAGAAAACAGTGCACCACAGCGGAATAACGCACAGAATTCTGCCAGCATTCTCTATGCCCCTGTGAACTATATTTTAAATCTGGATGTTCCAAAAAATTTGGAAGCACAACAAGCTCAGTTTCTTGTGAGAAATGTTGCTGCCCTCTGGCCCTTATCACTTAAATCATGCAAGCCAACGCATTTAACTCAGGGAAAAAAGCACACACACACACACACCAGCGCAACATTGCTGAAGTGGTGCCAGGATTTTTTTGGCAATTCTGCTCCTGTTAATGTGCGAACGCAGAGGGGGGTTCTGTTTTTCTCCTAAGACACTTTCAGTCCTTTTGACGGAATGAAATTGGAAGGAACGTTCGCAATATGCTTGCTCGACGTTAGCTCTCAATGTGGCCGATCCAACCTCGAGAATGGATTGAAAAATAACAATTTGACCTCTCCCTCTTGACGCGCGCCATGAAGATCACGTTCAAGCCACTCGCTCGCGCAAGCCACATTTGAACACTCTTCTTCTTTTGTACGGCCGATGGCAGATGCAGAGCAACAACTTGCAATTTCACATTGAGGTGGTCACACCAGATAACCGCATCGGGAGCAGCGGACTTGTATCGCTGTGATGTTTGCTTCGCATTCGTGGATCGGAGCATTGCGTCGTTATAAGTTGTACGGTGTGTTCTGGACGACCAGTCGTACACCGGTGAGTTTTATTTTATTTTACATTTGTGCATTCAGATATTCGCATCTGCCATGGTCTGCGCAGTGGATGTGGTTTAGGGTGGTCCATGAGCTTCGTGGAAGATCAAACCCAGGGATATTTTAACACCGAACTGGAGTCATCAAGGGATGCTGCCATGGTGCAGTGGTTAGCAGCACACAGCACTCACAATCCAGACGCCACAATGGTGAAAGCTTCTTAACCCCCCCTCCCTTCCCCCGACTGTGTACATCCAACAGTGTGAACGGATATACCACAGAGTCGATGGGCAGGTCTTGTGCGGTGGGGTAAAGTGTGGGTACTACCACCTCTTCCAAGATGTGGCCAGTGTGGAAGAGTAGCCCACATTATCCTCTAGAGGGGCTGTTTAAAGCTCTCTCCAGATGAGACGCCTTCTTCCAGAAGTGTCATGGGCAAGCTATTGCAAGGCTGCATCTTTAGCTCTTCGCCTATTCACAATTGTTGCAGAGGGCATATTAGATGTTTTATCCTGCTTTTGTTATTGCTTGTAGAACACCACTCTTATACAATGTGTTTGCAAACATTCGCGGAACTTAAATTGCGATTCTAGCAGTGTTCCACACCGTCCGAAGCCAAACCATTGGTTCAGACATCCCAGAGTTACTTGTGATGTCAACTTTACAGAACTACTCGTGATGTTGATATCCAAATCTCTTCTGCTATCACAAAACGACATCTTCAAGGCGGGACTGGGCCGTTAACCTGTACACATGAATGGCTCCCCATGCATCAATCTGCCAATTTTACACTCTCAGAATTGGGGGTGAAATCATCGGTGAAAAGGCTGAGCTCATCAAGCCAAATACAAAAGATACACCACTTAAATATTGGACAGTCACATGGGACTCAAAACCCAGGGTTTCAGTGGTGCCGGATCAGCATTGCACTGACTCTGACAAGGTCATTAGCCCTCCCGAGCCACGCAACCACCTCTAATAACAATGTGCATTACAGCAAGAAGGAATTCACTGTGGGCATCAACTCCCATGGTTACTTGCACCCAGTGGCGTAGCATATTCATCACGGGTCGTGGTGCAAGAAAATGAAATGGCGGCACGCCCCCCCCGCCCCTCTTGGTAAAACCCAGTTGCCTGGGCCCCCCCCCCCCCGGTGCAGTTGCACCGCCTGCACACACACGTTAGCTACGCCACTGCCTACACACATTCAGGCCTCCGCTGTAACTCAAAAGGGAAATGGCATTTTGATTTTGGGGAAACTAAATTTTTTTTTTTAAATATGCACTCTTGGTAAAGCACGCTATGGTAAAGTATTAACATTAATCTCTCGAACTCTAGTTTTGAAACATCTGCTGCACCCTTGATTACAAACATGCAAAAGAGAGTTCAGAGCTTCCCCCAAGGCACCCACTGTATGAGAGGCCAGGAAAAAAAACAGAGAATGCAAACAAATGCAAGCCTCCCATAGCTTTCTTGTGACAATGAGGGAGCTCGTAATTATTTACACATGGGTCAGGAAATATGCCTTCGGTAAATAATAGATGGCCACCGGTCATGTGGCAGGATTATCTCACTTGTGTGTAAAATGGACTCCCCGGGCAGAGTACGGTACACACGTGTGCACCGATGCCACCTGTATCATGACAAACAGGGGGTGTGCCTTTCAATGTTGGTTTCACCTCTCCAGCTGGATGCAAGTGATATTGTAATATAAAGCGGTTTGTGCGACTATCAACCAAATTAGAAGATGCCCCAATAGTCCGTAAAAGTTATCGGGGGTTATGACAGAAATCCAGATTACGCATTTTTTGAGACCGCTTCGAAAAGCTCACCTTGGGCGATTGGTACTTTGACAACAAAAAACACGCACACAGTAGTGTATATTAATGAGTAATTTAAGTAATGGTTATGTTTTGCATGACACCGCTGCACGTGTAAGGACAGTAAAAAAAAGGCACCCGTAAAACCGTGAGCGCCCGTTTTGTCGCAAAAAGTCAAGTGACCTGGAAGCCATTTACGTTTTCAAAATAATAACTTGGTCAAACAAAACATGCCACCGTTGTTAATGTGCGAGAGATACGACTCATTATGTTCACTCACGCTGCTCAGATGATGCATAATTGCCTTATTAAGTATGTATTTCACACTCGAACGGTTATATGGTGTAATGCAATGGAGGGGGGGGGGGGGAAGTAACTGCAGTCATTATTATTTGTTGCAAAATGGGACTGCTGTTGGGCAAACCGATGATACAAGGCAATTCTCAAAACACGTGTTTTTATTCGAGAAAACGTGCTCTTTTTCCCCCGCTGCATATTGTGAACACTGGATAACAACTTACTTCGAATATAAAGAGAATCGACTCCAACTCTTCCCTCTGAGACTTGTGTGCTGAAAAGGGGAAACCACAAACGAGATTAAACACAAATACCGGCACGGGAAGTTACAGTAAAGAGCGTGGTTATATTTGATGGGAAAGTGAATGCCCGCGATGACTTTAATCGATGCAAAAAATACAACTTGGCTGTGAAAATGGTAATGTTAACATCATTTGTTATTGATCAATCAGAAGCAATGTCAACTATGTTATATCTACAAAAAAATCAATTATCTGGGGTAATTGGATGAGGGCGGGAGGAGGGGATCACGGGGACAATACAACAACAGATTGTGAAAAAACATTTGCCAATTTGGTTTATTTTTCCACAAAATGTGTCATGTTTTGATTGCTTTTTACAGTAATTGGTTAGAAGCAGCTCGTGTAAAAATGAGTTCACCTTTGAATTCGCTATTTTATCATTTGTATTTCTTTCATTGCAAGTACGGTGAATACACAACCTGGATAATCTGCCCACAGATAACCAAGCGTTAACAGTAAAAGCTATGTGAATGATTGACAATTACATTGCCGATTGTCAATCATGTATACAGCTACGCAGTTAACTTGAATACGCTCATGCAGTTTACATGTTAATTAATTAAAAGCTTTCCAAATGTACACTTCAAAATCAATTGCTTATAAATTACCCAATCCTGAAATATTATACATGAAGCTCATCGCTCAGAGGCTACAATTTATTATTTAGCTTTAATTACCGTTTTTAATTATTGTTTTCTCTTTGCAAATAGAACAGGCAAATTACATTTCAATCGAAGTTTCAATCAGGCATTCTCAACAAATTACCCAACAAAATAATGCATTTTTGTTTTCCTTTGTCATTAACTATAATCACGGAGATAAAGGTGCAGCCCTGCAATTGCTGGCTCAAGCCACTCAAAGCAAGAGGCCCTCCACGAGAGGGAGCTCTAGAGAGCACCTCTCGAGGGTATTTGGCCTACTCTTCCATTCTGGCCAGATGCCTTGGAAGAGATGGGAGTGCCCACACTTTGCCCCACCACAATCGACCTTCCGATCGACTGTGGTGGTACCTATTTGTGCCACGGTGGAGAGATGTTAACTCCCTCGCCTGGTATACAGGATGTTGTGGGTTCGATCCCGACACTGACACCTGTATATTTGGAGATTGCATGTTCTCCCCGTGGTCATGCAAATTTTTCGCCAGGTCCTCCGGGTTTTCCCTCCACATTTAGAATCAACGTGCGTTTAGAGTTTTTGGCTGCTATAGATTTCCGCATGATAAGCCACTTTGTTGCGCTATCATTTGTGGCCAAGCCACTTCTGAAAAAGAGCTGTATATCTCAGTTGGCCTCACCTGGTCAAATAAAAAGTCTAGTTGGTTAATTGTTAGTAATTTACACTGCTGGATGGACAGTAGCATAGTGGGGGGCGGGTTGAAATTCAAGAAGCTCGCCAATGTAACTGCCGCGTCAGGAGATAGAATAGAAGTAGTGAACTCTGGATTGCAAGTCCGGTGCGCTAACCGTTACACCACCGTGGTGGCAGCATCCATCACCGAACACGATGCGATACATTTACCGAAGATTAATTCGGTCCCTGCTGTACGCACGCAAGAAGCCTGCTGGGTGAGATCAGACTGTAAGACTGCTGGTATGCCTGGAATGAGATGGTTTTTGTCCACTAAGAATGTGTACGATAATGACCTTGGCCCGTGCCACTGGAATGCTCCCCCTTACCTTTCTGCTTCAGGTTGGCCTCGATGCTGACAAAGTTCTCGAAGAACACAAAGTAGATCTGGGAATAGTTGGTGTCGAAGAACAACTTCAAATCCGCCGTGTCAGTGTTTTCTACAAATAACAAACAGACGAACAAAGACACCAGTTGGCACATGTTGAGCATTATATGAAAGGGAATGAAATGCATAAGCACACAATATGTCTCCTCCTTCCCTTATCTGTTACGCCATGTAAAAAAAACGTTACTTTTGTTTTCTACACATATAGTTTCAGAAGCATTGGTCCAGCACAAGCAAAACTCTGGACACGATTCGACATTCAGTCTCTCATCAGCAGAGCCAGGCTTGCTAAAACAAACGTTTTGCAATTGCCAGATGTTTAAAAGCACGGACCCTTTGTCTCTATTAGATACCGGTCCTAGTTGGATGCAAAACCACATCATCAAATAACTCAACACATGAAAGGAAATTAATGGGTATGCCAAAGACAAAGTAAAGTGTAGGCACTTAAAATTTCCATTACAGATTAATTTCAATGATGGTAAACTTATTAAACAGTAAGCAATTGCACTCGAGATTACTCTGTAACTCTAGCAAGCATTCACGTTCAACTTTCCATTAATTAAACCTCAAAATATGCCGTTATATCGCTGTATTATGAAGTACACTCTTTTATTAATAGACTGACATAGCCATATCTCAATACAGTTTCTCAATTTGCTCAGTTATTGGCAAATTTTAAACCAGTAGCTTAAAAAGAAACATTTTAACAGACGGTTAATGGCTAAACTAGAAGTCACCACTTAATTTTTAAATACATAAAAGAAAATAACCATTAGCATCTTTGTGGAGACAAGAACGCTTTTACAACAGCGTGCACGATCGCTGTGTGTTACGTCAAACGAGAACCCATAGCCTGCAAGAGGGTCCTTGCCTACAACTATCTGGGTCCAGCAAGCGTGACGCTGCTGATTATAATGATCCAAGGTTTGCTTCTGTTGAACCAAAGCTGCTGAAATTATGCACTGTCAAAATGGCTGTAGTGGCTGGTAGGGTGCGTTAAAAAAAAAAACTTTTTATGTTTTTGGTGGGAGGACAGATGTAAGACTGAAGTGTATTGTATGTTTATTGATGTAGTAACTAGGTTGTGCAGTAATTAAAACTGGGCAAAACATACAATAATTAGGATTTCCATTTTGATGGGGTTCCTCGTCATTTACAGGTCATAATTCATGTTTAGCATTCGCAAATTGGTTTCCTAGGACAGCACTTACATTAATTCGGAATAACGTTTACAACAAACCTTCATGAGAGTTTCAGTTATGTTTTACCGAAGTCATCATGTTTGCTTTGAATGGGTCCCACGGTTCCTTTCTGAACTTACTGTGAGTCGAGTGAACACAACGGCGAGGTTTGCACATCCTCCGTGGCTCACTCAGAGCAAATATTTGTGGCTGTACATGTATGAAATGTGCACCAGGGCTACATTTAGTTGCCAAGCAGATCAACTATCACTCTAAGACAAAAAATATGAATACAATTTTAAAAAAGATAAACAGCATTCCTTTTGCCAAAAAAAAAGTTCACACATTCACGGTAAAACCTCCCCCAATATGGGCACCACAAGTGTTGCAGAGGGGAAGGCGTGTGTCACTGTGTGCGTCTATTCAAAATGCGAGGGAACTCGGAAGGGTAAAGGTTAAGGCGCGATCCTGTAAAATGTTGCGTTCGAGCCACTGCCGACGGAGCGTGCGAGTACCCGCACTTTACCCCACCGCACGCAACCTGCCGACTGACCGCGGTGTAGACATACACACGACCGTGGTGTAGACATACACACGACCGCGGTGTAGACATACACACGACCGTGGTGAACAGTGGCGGAGGCAGTCAGGAAACGAGCCCTCCAATTGCTTCAACTGCCGCACCAGAAAAATTAATCTGAATCAGCGACCTTTGATTGCAGTCGAACCAACGACCGCAGGATTTCAAACCATTGCAACATGCGGGCGTTAAATTATTATATTATTATTCACATTATTAGCATACACGTGACAAAAGTCATACGCGGCTTCTCTTAAGCTTGCAGCTGTAATTAAGATAGCATTAAAAAGTCTGAGCTATTATCTTTCGTAGGAGACTGGAGAAGCAATTAAGCCTCTTTGTAGTGACATCTTCTCAGCTCCTTCTTCCAGGCGTGACATTGCTGTGTGCCATCCCAACGATGAGCGAGCCTGATGTGACTAAAGGGTGAGAGGCACGTACCCTTTAGTGGATCATTACGTGTGGGTGGACTAGGATAACCATCGTATCTAAAGCTGTCAGGCAGTCGTTGACGCCGGTGTTTTTGGCGTCAAGTGAAAGTGCATCAAATAAACAATTATATTCAACATTCTACAGCTACAGCCATGCGATTACAGGTTCCCTCACTTTATGCGGTAGATGCCAATATTTACCTCGATTTTTTTATGAATGCAGGTTGCCCTTAGTTGGGTCTTGTTGAGAAAGGATTTATCAATTTTTCACCGTGAGTTTTGTTAACGCTTTCAAACAAAGGCTGAATGCATTAATGGGTTATCCCTGTCCGTCTGTAATGAGGGGAGAGAGCTCTAGAACTTGCGTACAGACGATCCAATATGAACTAAACTCAGGTATAAAGTGTTTTTTTTTTTGCTATTGGGGACTCACCGTATTAAAAACTTGATAAATCAAAGGGTTTCCGCAAAGGTCGGAAACACAATCTACAGCAAATAGGACAATGGCATTTGTAAATACGCAAATGTCAATTTCCGTCCTGCTAATTAAACGCTCAAGATGACAAACGTGTTTTGGAAAGCGTTACAGAATATACACGCGTGTGCATAATTATTTTTTTTTACAAATTATGATAAACATTAGTAAAACTACAAGGTCAGGCACAACAAGCCTTTTAGGGATCTGGGGCCCGCATTGGCCCTGCATGACGGTGGGGAATTTTTGGATGATGGCCTTCGTGTGATTGCTGTCGTCCATGCATCTCACTTGTTAAAAAAAGGCTGCTTTGCCCAAACTTGTAGTGGCGAGCGTTCATATTCGCCGCATGTATACACAAGGGGTAAGCACAATGACATTCCAAAAATTCTCTGCATAGGTCTCGTCCTAAATGATGCATTACAAACGTAAGAGGCGGCTTTCTTTTTTTTATTCTTGGAACATTTGTGTCCACAACCAGACCTTACAGTAACCCCTGTCCTGGAATTTTTTTTTTGTCATATAAAAGCATTGCAGTCAGAAAGAAAAGGTGGCCATTGGTTAAGAAAAGGAATTGAACACATCTTAGAGGACATCCAATGCGGAGATGGAGCAATGATTCACAGCATCAGGTTCACCGATCACTTCAGCTACCTCAGTGTCATCCTAGATTCAACTTTATCCTTCGACCGTCAAACCAACCATATCATCAGTTATGTAACTTTCACCTGAAGGCTCTCAAATACACCTACGTCCTCTCATCTCCACTGAAATTGCCAACACATTGGCATGTTGCATAGTTGAGTCTCGCCTTGACTATTGCAACTCCGTCCTAGTCCGGACCTCCGCTGGCAACCTAAAAAAACTTCAAAGACTACAAAACAACCTCGCACGCGTCGTCATTGGCCACACTCATCCCCATCTCGACTCACTTGCCTGTCTCTGTGCCCTCAACTGGCTACCCATCGCCAGTACGGTCATATACAAGATCACCTGCCTCTGCCACAATGCCTTCATATCCGCCTGCCCGCCGTACCTTTCTTCATTATTGACAACTTGCAGCTCAGTACATGACAGATGCCTGCGCAGCGCGACTCACGACCTCCTCTTGATACCGAGATCCAGGATGGTCATCGTGTCTATGCGCCGCTTCTCGGTGGCAGCCCCAACAGTCTGGAACGCCGTCATCCCTCTGCACATTCGCAGCATCACCTCAATCGCCTCCTTCAAGAGACACTTAAAAATTCACCTCTATAACCACGCTTTCGAGCGACTCTGAGCTTGGCTCCGCGCCTCTGAGTTGCGGCCGTTACGTCCGCAAATTTGCGCGCGTTATAAATTGCATTATTATTATTACATAGAAATGCGTGCAGGCTGGAAACAAACACATTTTTAAACACACAAAGGTGTGCTGCTTACTAACAGCAGGAAAACAGGACTCCCATCATGCCTTGCAATGCACGTCACACGACCACCAACATTGCATGTGCAACGTTCCCAGCCTTGTCGAGACCACCAGCTCAAGAGCTGAGTGCACACGTACACCTTTGTGCCTTGTGAAATCCGCTTGCTGCAGTGCAGGATGGCGATAGGTGCCAATGAATTGGGAAGGCCTTCATCCAGGAGTGGGATTGATCGTGGCTGATGATGGTGATGAAAAGGCATCGTCAATGTTGTTGTGAACGTTCCAAGCAACGTAACCGAGAGGTCCTTCACCCGATAGGGCGTGCATTGAAGGAAACAACCACGCCTGCCTGAGCTGCCAATCACGAGGAGCAGCAGCAGCAGCAAGATCCACACCTCCCACACAACAGGACGCACAGCAACTGCCAAAACAAACACTGCGATCCACGAGCTCGGGACAATTACTCCCGGGCCGTGGCCGAGGAAAGAAAACTGCCCAAATCTTTATCTAAAGAACACACACGCGCACAATCCCACAAGTGCTGATAGTACCAGAGATCCACGACAACACCCTTTCCATTTAAAATCATGCAATCGACTTCAAGTGAAAATAATACCCTATAATAGTCAAGACTACTTAACGGGTAATGATGTATGGGCATTGAAGGAGAGACCCCTCTCGAGGGTAGTTGGCCTACTCTTCTCTGCTGGCCACGTGTCTTGGCCGAGGTGGGAGCAGCCACACTTTACCCCCGCCACACGCAACACGCTGATCGACTTAAGAGGACCAGTTCAGGTATCACTCGCCGCTGATGGTAGCCCTGCATGGGAATTAAACTTAGGACACCGCACGCACAGCAGAGTGCGTTAACCGCCGTGCCACCGCTCTATACATAGCGCTACTGAATTCATCGGGGTCGTACGAGTTCGTATGAAGTGGAGTTGATTGCATTTTGCTCACTTACAAAAGTTAAGACT